GGACGATTCTGCGGCCTGTCATCCGGACGATTCTGCGGCCTGTCATCCGGACGATTCTGCAGCCTTTCATCCGGACGATTCTGCAGCCTTTCATCCGGACGATTCTGCGGTGTGTCTCCAGGACGATTCTGGAAACCATTATCGGGAATATTCTGATTTCCGTTATCGGGACGACCCTGGTTCCCGTTATCAGGACGACTCTGGAAATTGTCATCGGGACGGCCCTGGAAGTTGTCATCAGGACGACCCTGGAAATTGTTATCGACGTTTCTGCCATCGCTAGGACCTTGATCTCCATTACCAGGGCCGAGGAATTGGTCGCCACCACCGGGGCTGGAAAACTGATCGCCGGGGCCAGGGCTGAAGAACTGGTCGCTACCACCGGGGCTGGAGAACTGTTCACCGGGACCAGAGTCGAAGAATTGTTCACCACCGCCGGGGCCGGAAAATTCTTCGCCACCACCGACGAATTCTTCGCCGCCACCACCAAAATCGAACTCCTGGCGCTTCCTGTTGACAGTGGCGCGGCGGCCGAGCCAGCCTCTAGGTCCGCCAGCTCCCCTCCACGGTCCGCGCCTCATGCGCTCACGCAGCTCCTGCCACGTGCTGCGCCTGGCCGTGCCTGGCGCTGCCGCCGGGACGAAGGCGATGGAGCTCAGCTCGACGAGGAACTCGGAGATCTTGCCGTCCTTGTCCTTGGCGATGGGGACCTGCTGGAGCTCGCCCTCAAACTTGGATCGGTCAATGCCGCCGAAAAAGACGCTGCCATTGCCGAGTGCTGCAAACGGTGCTTGTCAGAACCAATACATGTGTTGAAAGAGGGAAAGAGGAGGGACTGCTTTGCTTCACTTACGGGTTGCGTTGAGGACAACACTGTAGGCCTGGCTGTTGGTGACGCCAGATTCGTTCAATCTCCTCGGAAGGTTGTTGTACTTGCTCTCTGTCGCTTCAAGAGCGACCAGTCCCACGCCAACCACTGCCAAGTCGGAGATGTTGGCTCGCGTCTGGACGATGGACGCCAACCCGACCTGCGCGCTGGACACCTCGGCACCGCCAAGAGTGACGGTCGTCTTGGAGTAGTTACCCTCGTAGTGATCGCCACGACTCAGCGTCGCGTTGAAGGACTTGCCATCCAGGCTCTGCAGGTCGGCCGCGGCGTCGGGATTGAAGGGGGCGGCCTCGGGAACGATGATGTCGGAGGACGCCGTATCGAAGATGCCGGTGATTTCCTGTGCCGGGGTGCCGAGGCCGAACTTGATCAGCGGCACCGCGGGCCCCAGCTCCTCGCTCTCGAGGTGCTGGACGCTGGCCTGGACGACGCGCTGGGCAGCAGCGTTGCCGGCGGCGGCCAGGAGCAGGATGATGTGCCAGGTGCTTTGCTTCATCGCTGCAAGGGTGGAAGTGAACCGTGCTTCCTTGCAAGATGTGACGGGTCTCTAATGTTGATATTATAGGCGCAGCATGGAATATTGGATCGGCAGGGCGGAGGATATATACATGGTCAGGGACCATCACATCCCCAAGGGCAACTCGTACGCCCTGCTCGAACCATTCCACATATAGCGGTGCCGAGGACCACGACTCATGACCAAACGCACGCGGTGGCATATAGGGACAATTGGGGAAGCTCGCCCGCCGTTGAGGAACAGGGTCGACATCGTCACCGTTCCCGGCATTATGCTCGAGAACCTCGACTGTAACTGCTCACTGTAGTTTCTTCTCCAGCATTAAGGAGTCCTATGCTATGCTATGTTAATCTAAAACGAGCCCAATCCGAAACGAACTAGGTAGTAGTTTATGAACAATATGCCCGACGGTAAAAGCCGGATCGCCAGCATGTGTTGGTTGGTGCACCACGCGATCTTCAAACCTTGAAAAAGAAGGTTTGCCACCGAAACGTGGTACCCTGGAGAGCAGGGGCCTTTTTGCCTGGTCGAAACAGACGCAATGAAAATGGCGACATGCCTCGAGAGGGTTGTATCGATGATGGGTTTGGGTTGACCAGCAGAAGGGTTGGCCCTTTCCGTTGCATAGGGCTGGCAAGTTCAGCGCATCAGTCAGGTCTGCCAAGCTCTCATCTCCACTGCCTCACCTTTTGGCATAATTCATGAGTTCTTCGTAATTTTTTCTTTTCCCCTTCTCCTTCTCCTTTGTGTAAGAGCCGTGATGGTGTGATGGTGATGTAGCGGCATAAATTAGCTGGTAACAGGAGAGAGGCCCGAGTGTTAGAATGCTAGCGGATACACACTCTCTTTTTTTTTTTACTCTTTTACGACTTAAGAAATTTTTTTAATTCTCTTCATATCTCTTCATACCAGTATCATCTTGACGAAGTTTGTTATAACCCCCTCGTGTAATAGAAACGGGTATCCGCGGGGGGAAGTGCGCCAACAACGTTTATATGCGGAGGACGAATATAAGAGGGCGGAAACCGCCCAGAAAAGGAAAAGGAAAAGAAACAGAGCACTCCATGGGCTTGCAGAGTGGAACCACGACGATGATATCATCTCTATTAATACAGGGGATGTATCGGGGTCCTAACGAGGTTCCTTTACTCCTACGAGACGCGAAGGGACAAATGGGGGACGGACTTGCTTTATTCTCGTCCCGCCGACGACGTCGACAGAAGAAGGCTGCCATTCCGCGGTTCCGAGCCAGGAGGCCTTTTCTTTACGAAACGGAATGACCGACGAGGGACGCCGTACTTGAGCGTCGGTTGTTTCGCGGGCCTTGTATTGGTGGGCTCTGGATAATGTGAAACAGGAACGACGAAACAGGAACAGGGTGGTTAGCGTTTCCAACACAGGGATGCCACTGTGAGGACGGTCACGCCGAGGCAAGGCCGTTTTGTTTTTTTCGGGTTCGTTGCTGTTGTGATCATGTAACTACGAGGTGAAGCAAAAGCCCATTTTCCATGATATAGAGTGAGGCTGCTTTGCGTCGTCGTGAGAATCGAACGCGCAGGAATCCCCCACCTCTCATGCTGTCCTACACATTTTCACCATGTGCATGCAACCTACGGCATTAAAAAAAAGCCCCGAACACCAGGGGCCGGCATAATTTCCCCAGCAGCAGCAGAACAACAGCAGCAGTGGCCTCTAGCTATGTACTGTATGTAGGATGTATAAGAGGGGAGAGGCTATAGCGCCCCCTATGTACATACTGTACGGATAGGTACAGTACCTATATTATAGGTGCCTCGGGCTAACCGGCTACGCTACCTTCGATGGGGGGTCGCTCCGAGCTACAACGCATCAAGGTTGTTAGAGGAAATAAGGCAACACAGCATGCTACGAGGCCTGGTTTTTGAGACGAGGACAGGTCGATCAGTGGCGTGTTTCCCAAACCTTGCCTTGCTCGATTTTGCGGGTCATTGCGCTGTCAACTCTGGGCGATTCGCTGAATCCTACCAAGTTATGGCCTCAGATCCAATACTCGGTATGTCCGCCCCGCCACCCCTCGGTCATCCACGGCATCTCATAGCGGTGCACTCTCCGAGAACTCTCCGGGTGTGACGGCCAGCACGGACGGGGAGGGCCATCTTTGCCGGACATCACAAGCCCATAATAATAATAACATAGCCTGCCCACGCGACGCTTCTGACCATATCCACAGATCTCCATTCTATCGTTTGGCCCCCGGCGGGCATATAGATGCGCAATCCCGAGTTGGGCAGCCGGGCTCGTCTCTGAGCTGCCGAGTGAGCTGTCGCACTCGCTGTCGGGCAGCTCGCCTGCGGAGATCATCAGTGGATCTGACGACGGAAAATCATCGCGGTTGTTTTGTTGCACGAAGAGACGGCATCAATGTTTCCTTGACATTTTCACGATTTGCGGTCACAGCTCGTCGTCCACTGTAAGCTCCCCACATGGCACCAACAAGTTGGAAGCGGGCCGCAGAGAGATAATGTGCCAAAAGGCCAAATTATTGCGTCGCAATTTTGGCCACACCAACCAGTCAAAGCTCACAGAGGGCGCAGGCAGAGCGGAGAGAGGAGCTGGCGCAGCCCCACGAATGCTTGCCAATGCCGCCTCTAGCCAGCACGGCTGCGGTCGCCCTGCTCCGGCCGGCCGGCGGGGAGGATCATAGGCCGGTACAGCTCGAACTACGAACCAGGACGCTGAAGGAAATAACAACTAGTGTCTACGACACTCTGGCAAATCTATTGCAGGTGTCAGTATTTTTCTAAATTTCAACAACGTCGGCCAAGTTCTTCCACTGCGTCCCCAACCACGCACCACTCGCCATTGTACCCCGCTGCGAGCTGCTATAATGAGGCGTTGAAGACTCTCACAGGACAGCCAGAATACGACATGTCGCGAATACACCACGGCCGACTTTCGTCGAGGCCAACACTCGCCTTCTGCAGCAGCGATCGATCTGATACAAAAACCGACGAATTTCGCTGATGGAGATGAGATTGGGTACTACAACTAAAAAGGAGCTCATGTACCGAGGAAGAGCCCCGGATACTGTTACACGGGCTTGAAGAACCGCCCCCGTCTATCTTACAAAGCAGGCCCTAGGCGAGCGTCCTCGTCTGGTTCAGAAACCGCGGCAGGTCGGACAGGTTCGTCAGCGCCTTCAGCCGCTGATTCGACCACAGCGCGAAGCCCGCCTGCCGCAGCGTCGCAATGTCCAGCCCCTGCGCGCCGCCGCCGTGCTCCGCGCACGCCACGCCCGTCCCCGCCACCGGCCGCACGCTCTCGTAGTACTGCATCGCCGCCGACGCGAAGATGAGCTTCCTGCGGTCCCCCAGCGCCGGCCCGGGCGCCTCCCCCGTCCTCCTCACCTCCCCATCTCCCGCCACCGTCGACGGGCACGCGAGGCCCTGGTTCACGCGCGTCGCGAGGTCCTGCCCGCACCGCCGCCGAATGTACTCCATCACCGTCGCGTGCTCGTGCTTCTCCGGGTGCGGCACGTCCGGGTAGTAGCAGTCGTGGTGCGCGGCCGCGTGGTAAAAGAAGCGCTCCCCTCCGCTCGCGCCGGCGGCAGGCCAGTGCTGGCTGAAGCGGCTGACCTGCAGCCCGAGCCACCAGTCGTCCTCGGTGGCGCCGACGGCCGCCACGCCCTCGAGGCTCTTGAGGTCCTTGCGCGACCAGCCGAGCGTGCCGCGGCGCGCCGCCCTCTTGACGTCGAAGATGAGCTGCAGCCGCCACAGCGTGCGCACGCACCGCTGCTCCTCGCTCCACGTCGGCGCCGTGTCGCTCCCTGCCGCCGCGCCTCCGACGTGCGCCGCCAGCTCGTGCAAGTAGTAGTCGATGCAGTCGAGCGAGGCCGCGGCCAGCCGGCGGCCGGTGACCAGGACGCCGCGGACGACGCAGGGCGCGGTGTCGCGGTCGAGGCGGCGCGGGGCGAAGCCGGCGGGCGAGGGCGTGCGACGCGAGCTGTGCCGCAGCGACTCCTCGATGACCTGGCGCCGGAAGGAGGCGAGGCCGGGCGCGACGGGCCAGGGCGCGTACTCGGTGTAGCCGGGGGGGAAGGGCCGCGCGCCGGCCCGGAGCAGGGCGACCTGCCGCATCAGCACCTGCACGTGGTCGCAGACGCAGCCGTCGGAGAGGACGCTCTCGAAGACGTCCACGGCATTGGCGCCATCGTCGAAGAGCCGGTACGCGACGGGCGAGGCCCGCAGCAGGCTGTCGAGGGTTGTGAGGTCCGGGAGGTAAGAGAGGATTTGTAGTAGAAGCTCGTAAGGGAGCTCCTCAAACGCCATGGTGGGTGGGATGGGATAAAATAGGGAAAACCGTGAATGAAACTATTATAGATAGGATGATGGGAAAAAGGGGGCCGAGGTGTCGTTGCCTGTGTGACACATGCCCAACTAGTGAGAAGTGTACAGGGTGGCTTGTCTTATCAGATCAAACACCCCGGATCTCGGCCGACCGATAGCGCCGACGACCGGCCAGGGAGCTGCCATTCCGGGCTACAGACAGTGGTCTGACTGGACGCTACAGGGCAGACCCAAATGAATTGTGGTGCTTACTGATTGATAAGATCAAACTGATTTTGCTGTTCAAGGTTAAGCAAGTGTAACCCCCACTTTTAATTTAGAAATCATCTTTCTCGGTCAACCCAACCACATAGTTAAAAACGGTATCGCGCTCAAGGGTAGCGATGAAAGGCGTCTTGTTCTCTCATCACAAGTTGGTCTCTTGTTTATTTTCGCTTGCTTCATGCGTTTCGGAGGCACGGTGACTCCCGATCTCGGAGCCTTCGATCACCGACCAAACCAACTACGTACCCTATAGTAGACTTCATTTGCACGGTTGCCGACTAGACGGTCCCCGTAAACACCTTTGCGCATCCTGAAGATTGATTCTAATAGTATATCGGGGGGGGGGGGGGGGGGGGGGGTCGTCGGCGATGATGCCCCTCCCAAGCTGTCACTTTCTTGGTTCTGTAGCTGTGGTCGCAAGCGTGTCGGCCAGTCAAACTTTGTGCAACTTCAACTGGGTTTTAAGCAGAGTAAAAGAGTATAGCTTTATCATAGGATTAGATAATTTTAAAATCTTTACCCTATTTGTTCCAGCCCAGTTGTAAATGGAGACAGGCAGATGGCTATGTAAGTTGATGCTAACGGGTAAAGTTACTTGGGGTTGTGGGACAACAGGGACGCGCAGAGCCTCTCATGTTCTCTGCAGTTACGCCCTGCTCCTGGGCTAGATGATTATGCTTAAAAATGGCTCTCGTTATTTAACAGAGTGGCATCTAGTAATTGGTGTTAGTTGTCTTTCTTTCTTGGCATATTATAGTTCCGTCGGCTGCCTTTCGGCAGTTGGGCGCCACAATACCTGCGCGACAGGCAATGCATTACAGTCGTGTACTGTTCCGAGATTTTCCCCATCGGTAGAAAACTTAGCAACTCCAAAGGGCGGGAGAAAAAGATTTAATCACATGGTAGACCAAATATACGCATGCTCTGTATAGCCATTACGATAGCGGATCAATGGTTCTGGACTTTCCTCGTTTTCGCGGACTACTCCGTACATGATCACTTCGCTGGGATACGGTACGTATCTATTCTTCGGCTCACTCATGGTTCTCATGGGCTTCTGGGCATTTTTCTTCATCCCCGAGACCAAGGGCCGCTCGCTTGAAGACATGGACAGGCTCTTCAATGTTCGTACCCGGTCTACGGCCTGGCAGTCCCTGGTGCAGCGACGGCGTGTGGAAGAGGTGCTGGCGGAGAGGACCCAGAATAGGGCCGTTTGTGATGTTAGAAAAAAGGCAGATATTTGAGAAATAATTGGGAACGGAATTTGGGGACCAGCAACGTGAAAAAAAAGTATACAGCCATCCAGAAGCAAGAACGAACAAGTGAGCCCCCATGCCCACTCCATATTAGTCGACGGGAATAACTGCCTTGATGCATGTTGCGGGCTCTTGGGTCAGTCGGGGCGGAGACAGGATATAAATAGTATCATAAATCAAAATCAAATACTATTTCACCACGGAGTAGTAACTAAAAGGGTCTTGTAAGCATGGTTGCCAAGTGTGAGTTCCCAGAGTGAGCCGGCGCACGTCCCGTTAGAAACTAGACAAAATCGACAATGACGTAGTTTTGTGGCGTCAACTCCGGCCGGCCAGCATTGACAAACTAATTGAATTGTTACACTCGGCCGAGTAAACTCATCCGGGAGCTGAAGGGAATCAATACCGAGAGACTGTATCGCTACAAGGCTGTCATTTTAGCCTTTCGAAACTCATTTTCTGGCTACCATCGCCCTGAGATGTTTTATAGCTTCGTCTTGTTCCAGAAGCCAGGAGTCTCCTTGTTGAAAGGCTGGAGGTGAATACTGTAGCGTCATGGCCGTGAAACCGACCCAGAAAATATGCGCTTACAAACAGCAACTACCTTCTTGCCCTGCAGGTGAAGTAAAAGATGAAATAACTTTCCCACCAACGAAAAGTTCAGCTTCGTTCAACGCTCTCTCTCAAGTCCCAGCCACCTGACATAGGGCTGCCCATGTTCCCCGCTTTCAACCCGCAATACGAGCCTGACGGACGAGGGAAGCGTGCTCAGTAGCCCTCGGAGATTGAAAACGTGCCTGATCATTTTAGCGGATTTATAAGGATGTTTCTAGTAGGCGGTTTCTGTTGCCGCAACAGGGCGCCCATATCTCGTATTGCCAGTGGTTAGTAACTCGTATCGCCAAGGGTATCGCTCGGGCGGCCCCCACAGCGTCAGTTCGATCGCTTTTTAGCCAAAAGTTTGCAATTGCCACCAATGGATGGGTCTTTCTGGGGACTTGCGGATTTGGCGACGTCATGGTTGGCCCAAGTGCTGGTCCGGGCCGCTTGTGGTGGCTGGAAAGTTAGTTTCCGTGAGCTTCAACAGGTATAAAGCAATAGGGATCGCCACTTACCACACCTCTTGAAATCATCATCAAGGGCTTCTCAATCTCTACCGTTATCAACCCAATTAACCTAATCCAATACCCAACTACACCGCTTCCCCGTCTCCATCACACACAAACACCACAACTGCCAACATGATTGCCACCATCGCTGGCCTCGGCCTCGCCGGCCTCGCCGCCGCCGCGCCGACCACCACCAACCCCCTCTACCCCGAGACCTCCAGCTCGACCGGCTTCAACCTGGTGCTCAATGTTACGGACCCCAGCTGGGACCTCGACCCCCCGGTGCACGGCACCTTTGTCACTTCCATCCACGTCGGCCCTGCGCTCAACTACGTCGGGCAGACTTCTGCCTCCTCCGGACGCCTCTTCTACGTCAACGGCACCGCCACCGACGTGCGCTACGGCAACTCCGACACTATCTCCGACGGCGGCACCCCGCCCTTCCCCGAAGTGCTCTCGCTCCTCCCTGACCAGGGCTCCGCCACGCTATCGACCGTCTTCCTCAACGCCGGCAACGCTGCCGGTGATGGCCGTGACTACCGCACGGGCATCACGGGCTTCCCTAACCCCATCCCGGAGCTTTACCCGGTGACGTACGTGGCCTGCCGCGAGCCACTCGCGTACTACGGCGGCAAGGAGTTTGTCATCATCAAGCAGGCGAAGACGACGGTCAGCGAGGGCGGGCAAGTCGAGCGCAACATCCCGGACGGTTGCGCGCCGCTCAGTCTGCTTCCGCAGTGCGCTGAGCTGAATGAGCTTCCGGCCGGTTCGCTGTCGAGCCACGATTTCGCCGCCACGACGCGCTGCTACACAGACGTCAACTCGATTGACTGGCCTAAGTACCACGCCTACTAAGGTTGCTTGTTGGTGGGGTTTTAGTTTGTGATGCTATTATAACAGGGGGGGTATAGAAGGGAAACTTTTGTATGCGGTGTTCACCTCGCGGAGGACGTCGATCATTAATCTTGCATAACATGGAGCGATTGTTCTACATCCTAGCATTAATACATAATTCATTATTGACATTGCAGATCATTTTGAGGAAATTGTGCTCGCTGTGTGACGATGGATATTACTGTCTTGATAGAAACGGCAGCATCGGCAAGGCTTGATTCTGTGCGTGCGCCGCGATTAATATTCGGCTTGCCGTGTCTCATATTCAGCTCTCTAAATATTGGACGGTTCCTGTATCTATTATTGATTCATCGTGCCGCTTAGGTATGTAGGTAGCGGCCTTTCCACCTGTTATCGTTGTTATTTTCGGGTACGTGTTGCAGGACCGGCTAAGGGACTATCCGAATCTGGAAGGTCAACGGTATCCGACACAAACAGTTGGACACTGGCACCTAGTTTCTGAGGCCTGAAAACATAGCAAAGCAAAGAGACGAAAAAGAGAGTCAAATCAATAGATTTCAAGGACACACTTATCGCCTTGGTGATCCGGTTCGGCTCCGGTGCGCAGTTCCTCAAGCCGCGCCGCTAACCAAGTCCAGCAATCAGCAACGGAATACAGGCTCTCAGTGGCCGACCTCAGCGCGCCATGCCCCTGTTCCTAGCCTAGACCCTGACATCCCTAGGTAAATAAAATCCACCAAAAGTTGGGGATCAGGTACCTGAAAGCACAGGTACTAAAATGAGGGTCCCCCCCCCCAATCTTCATCTGCAACTTGGCTTCTTCCCCAACCTTCTCTCATTTAAAGCATCATCTCTCTCCACCTCTGCAGCCTCCCCGCCTTGCCCTCCGCATCTCTCTCGTTACACAACACCGTCACCGACACCATGACACTTCGCGCGCCCCCTTCCGGCGTCTACTCCGACCGACCGCTTGAAAACCGTGTGCGCGCTGTAGCTCCTCCTGCAAATATCATGGGTTACTACCCACCCGCGCCTGCTGGCGGCTACGCGAACCCCACGGCTGCGGCACCGAGTCCTTACGCGAACCCTATGGCTACATATCTTACAGCGGCGCCTTCCAAGGCTTCACGCAGCTTCCTCCTCGCTGACATGGACGGCCGCGGCAACGACAACCGCGCCTGCGCCTCCTGCATTGCCCAGCTGAAGCCTCACGAGGCCAGTCAGATCAACTGGCGTCTCAACAGCACCGAAGACTGCCGCCTGTGCCAGGTCGCCGCCACCAAGCCCGAGGCCTTTACCAAGCCCTTCTGCGACTTCCTGACCGAGAACCCGACCATCTTCCACACCGTCAACTACTGCAAGAACAAACTCAACAGCGCCGGCTACACAGAGGTGAGTTTCCATTGTGCAACGCCCTCACTACACGCCTGCTAATCCTCATCACTCCGTAGCTCCCCTCTCGCGAGTCCTGGGCCGGCAAAATCCATGCCGGCGGCAAGTACTACGTCTCCCGTAACGGCAGCTCCATCATTGCCTTTGCCGTCGGCCGCGGCTACAAGACCGGCCAAGCGCCCGGTTTCGCCATGGTTGGTGGCCACATCGACGCACTCACTGCGCGACTCAAGCCCGTAAGCACCAAACCCAACAAGGCTGGCTTCCTACAGCTCGGCATCGCTCCCTACGCCGGCGCGCTCAACGAGACCTGGTGGGATCGCGACCTCGCCATCGGCGGCCGCGTTATCGTCCACGACTCCAAGACGGGCAAGACCTCGTCCCGTCTCGTCCGTCTCGACTGGCCCATTGCCAAGATCCCCACGCTCGCCCCGCACTTCGGCGTTGGCATCATGGGACAGAAGAATAAGGAGACGCAGGCTGTTCCTGTCGTCGGCCTTGAAAGCACCGACGACAACCCCAGTACCGAGCGCCTCGGCCCCGAAGGCGCATTTGTCAACACCCAGCCTCCAAAGCTGGTCAAGCTCATTTCCAAGCAGCTTGGCATCACCTCCTACGCTGACATTGTCAACTGGGAGCTTGAACTCTACGACGCGCAGCCCGCGCAGACCGTTGGTCTCGACCGCGACATGATCTCGGCTGGTCGCATCGACGACAAACTCTGTTCTTGGGGCGCCCTGATTGGTCTCCTTGCGACCGAGGACAAGGCGGACGACACCTACGTCAAGCTGACCGCCCTGTTCGACGACGAGGAGATTGGCTCCAAACTCCGCCAAGGCGCCGGCGGCAACTTCTTGCCCTCTGTCATTGAGCGCACCGTCGAGGCCCTCAACCCGGACACGTACGGCCCGGGGCTCCAAGGCCAGGTCTACGCCAAGTCGTTCCTCCTCTCCGCCGACGTCTCACATGCCGGCAACCCCAACTTTCTCGGCGAGTACCTGCCCGACCACACGCCGCAGCTCAACGTGGGCATCGTCGTCGCCGGCGACTCCAACGGCCACATGACCACCGACGCCGTCTCCACCGCCGTCCTCGCCCGCGTCGCCGGGCTCATCGGCCACCGCATCCAGCCCTTCCAGATCCGCAACGACTCCCGTTCCGGCGGCACCATCGGCCCCATGCTCTCTAGCATGATGGGCTGCAAGGCCGCCGACGCGGGCATGCCCCAGCTCAGCATGCACTCGATCCGTGCCACCACCGGCGCCCTCGACCCGGGTCTGGGCGTCCAGTTCTTCAAGGGCTTCCTGGATAACTGGGAGAAGGTGGACCATGAGTGGGAGCACTAAATCCCCCCCCCCCTGAACTGCTAGCATATTAGAACCATGCGGTGTTGAGTTTTAGGTTTGATTAGCTTGATTGGAAATATACCAGCGATGGCCAAATAGACATGATTAGACTTTAGGTGCGGTGCATGTATAAAAAGATGTAATAATGGAACCGTCATTGATACATCCTAAATGCGTGGTTTTTCTTCTTCTTTTCGAAGGTGAGCGGTAGATGACAGCCAATTCAACACATAGGTTCTATTAGGCGAGGTAAGACAAGGCAGGCGGGACATTATGTTCGTGATGCTATGCAGACAAAGTTTCATGCCGCATTTCGTGTTGCCCAAAGAGCGGGATCACAGCCATGCGGAGAAGAAAAGAGAAACGCCCGGGTCTAGAATAGAAGAAGGGAAACTGAAAACATCTACCTCCCCAGAAAGTTGATGAGAAGCAGCACAAGTCTTGAAAAGCAAGGGCTTTATACCTCCTCTTCCATGATTACCCCGCCATCCCCTCTGCGCATCAGTCGAGCATCCTCGCGCGCAGCAGCACGCTCATCCGCGGAGTCATCGCTGTCGTCGTCGTCATCCTCACTCTCCACGGCTGCGACGGCGTCGACGTGCTCGTCGTCGATACGTTCCCCGTTCTTCTTTTTCTTCCTCTTCTTTTCGAAGTCTTGCGTGTGTGCGTCAGCGAGCATCTTGGAAAAGGTGCGTGCCGAGTCGGTGCGGCGCCGGAAGAGGCCGCCGGATTGTGAAGCGACGACCGTGGCGCTGGTAGCGGTGGAGAAGGCGCCGGGGCGAGCCGCCGTCGAGGTCGCCGATGACTGTCGTTGCGGGCCAGCGGTCTGCGTATGCGCGGCGACTGGTGAACTGGGCTGTAAGGGGGCTGTGCTCGAGGCGGTGGCCGACGGCCCTGCGCCAGCCGACGAGGACGAGTGGTCAGCCTCGGCCCTCTTGTGGTCGGCGTCGACGTCAACGTCACCGCTCTGCTTGCTGCTGGTGCGTATGTCTGGCGACGCCTCCGCACTGGCCGTGTTATGCGTAATCAGCGGCTCGATGCGGTACGGCAGCGGCACGTCGCGTGAGGCTTTGTACTGCGCGACGTTGGCGCAGTGTTCGTTCTCGACACGGAATAGCGCCCACATGCCACGCCGCGTCACCTCCAGCAGCGCGACAGTAAAGGAGAAGATGGTCGAATGGTTCGAGTCCTTGGGCAATATCACATACAAGATCCAGCTAAAACGGAGGATAGGGTCAATCACCATGATGAAGTAGTACGGCCGCTTAGATTTCAGCGCCAGAATGTCGCGCAGCCAAAAGTGGCGCGAGTGAAATTGGAGCAGGGAAAAGTCCATAAAGAGATCCCATATGGCGGGGGGGGGTTTGCTTACAGCAGTAAATGCTGTTTACAATGGAAAACAGGATGAACATCGCCAGATGAGTGTTAGTGCGGTCGATCCGATAAACTGACAGCAGAACATTGGCCAATATTGTCATTGAATACTTCCCCCCGTTGACGAGATGAGGAAACACGTTGCGCGTGTCTTTGTAACGGCGGAAACACTGAAACAAACGCCACAGCGCCGGGACCGTCGTAAGAAAGCCCAGCACTCGTGAATGGTTCGAGTTGCACTGCGTCGAATTTTGCCAACCGTTGGTGTACAGGCAGAAGAAGAGTTCAATGTTGGCCATACAGTATGTCAGGGAGCAGTACATGTCGCCGAGGAAGAAATCGCGAAACTCGACTGGGTAGATGCCTGCGAGCAGTAGGCGCGAGTGCGAGTAGGCAAGCCACCGGCGGCTCTTGTACGCAATTACCGGGAGTGGCAGGAAGATGATGATCACAGTGAGCGCGATCAGGAGCACGGGGTAGTACAGGTACAGGCTGTCCTCGCTGTAGCCTCTGAAGTTGGCCCACATGATGACACCAAAGAGGAGCAGGAAGAAGCTGGGGAATTCGGCCATACGGCGCCAGTCAATGCGTGTGCGGGGGTCGAGCTCGAAGATGAAGGTGTAGTTGATTTTACACTTGGTCCATACGTAACAATTAATGCAGAAGAGAGCAAAGAGGAGGAGCATGAGGAAGTAGCCCGCGTAGATCTGCAAGAGGTAGCTCGTGTGCGTCCGGTGCGTCTCGTCGCTGGACCCTAGGCGCTGGACACCGAGGATGAGGCCCTGGATGGAGAAGACGATACCGGTGCCAATGAGGAAGCCATTGAGAAAGGAGCTACCAGACTCGTCGCTTGATTTCTTGGCAAGACCACGAAGTTTACCGGCCGCGAGCTTGTGGTTACCACGCTCAAAATAGCGCGCGTACAGGTCCTCAACAGCCTTGATGTGTCCCTCGAGCAGGTCACTGTTGACAAACCAAGCCTGGTTGACCTTTTCGTTGAGATAGCGCAGCGGCGGGCGCGCGTTGACGGCCTTGTCGAACTTTTTGTTGATCTTGCGAAAGGCGGTGCGGTTGAGCAGCGCGTACGACTTGAGTAGCTCAAGCCCGCGGTAGAATTCCTGCAGCGCGAGCTTGAGCTTACGCTTGGCAGTTCGGTACGAGACGTCCTGTTCGTCGGGCCGGCGGATATAATCGCGGTGCCCTTCGCCTAGACGGCCTCGGCCACTCATGTACGGCGTCTGCGGCATGACACGGAGCGCCTCAGAGTTGGGCCCGGGAGGGAAGAGCTTGCTCTTGATGGAAGGCATCCAGTGGTGGCCACTCCGGTCTGTGCCGCTGTCCGAGTCGTTTCCATACAGCGGTGTGTGCTCCTGCGGCAACGAACTGGCCACTGGGGGAAGAATTTCCTGCAGTCGACGGTTACGCATTTCGTGGAGCTGTTCGCGCAGAAGCTCGAGTCTCTTACCAGCCTGCTCTTCCTTGAGTTTATAGAACGACTCAACCTTATCGAGCTCAGAATCCATAAAGTCGTAAAAGTCGTGCTCCCTCTCTCGAATAAGGTCAAACGGTTCCAGGCCGAGCGTTGTGGCCGAGGCATCTCGTATGAGTGTGGGCGAATAGGAAAAGATGCGTCGCAGCGGTGAAGACTGGTGCTGATCGGTACTGCCTCGACGTTTACGCTTATCCCAGGTAGAACTGAACGAGCCGTTGGATTTCAATACCGGCAGGATGGTACCAGAGTTCCGTCTCTCGGCCGATCTGGGCTTTGTAAGGCTCTGCGCCCAATCATGTGTTCGCACAGTGGCGTCGGGCGATGATGCAACTGCCGCGGGGCGCATGGCCGGTGCGGGCAGCTCAAACTCGCCACTATTGCCCCGTTGGCCCAGGGGACTCGGGTTGGGCGGTGTCGGCACGAAACTGCCATATTGTAGATTGGTATCGGGTGTGCGGTTCAGAGCGTCATCCTCAGCGACCTTGTTGTTTTTGATCGGCACTGCGCGTGCTGCTGACTGCAACTCGTACGGCGTTCCCGAGGTGTAGGCAGGCGGGCGACTCGATATTGTAGGGCCCGATGCCAGAGATTCGCGGTATTCACGGCCGCTGAAGGTTGTTCGAAAGGTCTGTTGGGTATTGCTATTTGGTAGTTGTCCGAACAGAGATGGCCCCCGGCTGCTGCGCAGCTTCGGTGTAGTGCCGTTTGCTCTGTTGACGGCACGGGCAACGGCCTTGATATACTTTTTGCCCGCCTTGTAGTTGAGATATTTGATGCGCCATTCTAAAGAGGAGGGGGGAAGCAATCATGTTAGTTACAACGACACCTTGGAGATGCATGCGCCACATCAATTGGGCAATCACGAACCTGGAACAGCATCTCGCTCGAGTTCTTTGGCAAACTTCATCGCCGCGTGGCGAGAGAGGATGAAAAGGCCCAGCCAAAATCAGCAACGCCGCACGAGACCCTTTGCCTACTTCAAGGAGCTGTGGAGGGACCGGCCAGACCAGCTTCAGAGCCCGACCTGCCGGAAAGCTGTGCCTTTTTGTTCAATTGCCCGTCAAGACGGCCAGCCGCCGGCGTGAGGTCTGAAACTTGCGCGGGCTTGCGTGTGACGATTGGGCACTCTGTGTTGCGCCAGCGCCGCCAGGCCACGGACTGGCATGTGAGGGTCTGAGGTTCGGAGCAGTCGTGGACGGTGAGGGACCTGTCAGAGGCGAGCGATGAGCAACGTGCTCGACGATGTCTTGAACGCTCTTTTGATGCCCCGCTGGCTGGCTAACTAGTACATATGGCAGAAAGCCGGCGGTACGGCGGTTGAGAAGACGACGGAGGTAGAAAAAGTGAGGGAGGAGGGGATGAGATGCTTAAGCATAAAAAGGTCAAGCAAGGTTAGAAAGACGATGTTTGGTGCAGCTCCACATACAAACGCTTGATGCTAACAAGGGTGCCACTTGGTAACATTGTGTTCCAGGTACCGACCTCGGCGCCTCCAAAAATCTCATTCGCTCCTTTCCAACCACAGGGATAAAAACACCAACAGAGTCGCGAAGTATTGTGTTGATCAGATTTATCTCTCATCCATTCACTCGCCCATCTGAAACTACTTTCTATTTTTTTTTCTTCCGGCCAACCACAAAAATCTCCGATACCCAACTTCCAGCCTAACTAGTCCCCAGCCAACTCCTCCGATTCCTGAGCCGTGGCGCCAGAGACTGTCTCGGAGGAGTAGGCATGACGTCAACAAACAATTGCTGGGTGGGAAGCATCCGAGAACTCGGGACCAGGCACACCAGTTCGTCCTGTGCTGGCGCGAGACCTACTGTGCGGCAACGCCAGCCCTGCTAGGAAAGGCGCAAGTTACAAGCCAAGCAATCTTCGCGGCTGCGCAGCGATGGAAGATTTGCCACCAGTAATCAACACCAACTCCGAGCCTGTCTGGAGTCCCTTTCGGTAACCTTTGTGCGACGACGCCACCGCTCGTGCTTGTGTACCAACGTTGAAGATTGCTCTGTGGCTGGTAGCTGTGTTGCCCCCGGGCCTCTTCTCATCTAGAATTCCTGGGGATGGGCCGATCCAAAGACCTGGACGCCACAGGATGCTAAATCGCTTCACCCAACGGACGAGGAATTCGACCAGTCATATATGGACCCTTGTCATCTCCAACCAACGACTCTGTTTGGGAAGAGCAGTCGGCATTTGAATAACCAATACCATTCTAGGTATATCATGCCCGTGTTACCACACGTTGGACTCGCCCGAGGATAAGTCCGAGTTGGAGCGCATCTGGGTCACGCAAGCTGCCTGACCAAGGAATGTTCATCACAAGGGCAGATCACAGCCACCCTTTGAACCCCGTGAAGTGAGACTCACAACGATGATCACGACACGACTGCGCTGGAGTGCTTCTGCAGATTTCCTCCCATATTTGCTGGTTGGCCCGCTGCCCCTTGGTGTCAAGATCCGCTTTCAAACTCTACCCGACAGCGCGACAGAGAAGGGCACGGTCAGTGTACTACGGATTCTGCAAACTTCCCGATATTATAATCAATCGGTTAGATGATGCAGTGACCACACATCTAAATCAACCATCCACCACCAGGGCTCGCCATCAAACTGGACTCGATTCCGCTAACCAGGGTCATTAGTTAACTTGGGTTCCATTCAAAAGGCCCGGCCTTGGTTTTCTTTGTTTAGAGAAAAGGAGCAGATCCCTTGCCCTTGTTAGCTGGAGTAAGCATCGTTCCACTTCGGCCTCAACACTGTTCCAGAATCATGGGGACACGACACCATCACAAGCTTAGAGAAGCTCCGTTACCTTGACGCACCCATACAACGCCAGGTCTGCAATGCCCACGTAGCTACCTATAGCCTACCATCAACCTTCCATTGATTTTCCTAGGCCTTCGCAGATATCCTGAATTGCCATCTCTCCGAAGTAAGTCATTCTCAGTCGTTAGAAGCTTGGGCGATAGTTGCGCGTCGAGACACAGAGACTTCATCAACCTACGTTGTATGTAAACCGATGAACGATGAGACTCTCAGAAACGTATCTCAACAATGTATTAATACATGAAACCTCCACTAATAAAGTGATGTAAAAGGAAGGCATAAAGAAGGGTAACACTAATAATTATTCGATCGTACAATTCCCACTGCAGTTGCATCTCCACTCGTGTGCCATGCAGCCAAAGAGAGTCGAAGCAAAGGTTACCAAGACGGCATTCATGGACTAGCAATTGGTAGGTCGAACGGCCGTCATCCTTCCTCTTCCCTGCCCAGTCACGGCCTGCGTCGCCCCAAGGTAAGTATCGATCGATGGCAGCACATTCGTGCACCTATCCTGGTTCACCGCCTTGACCATGCTGGCCACCTCGTCCTCTGTCAATTGCGATCCTCTCTTGGAGAAGAGAATGAGCGCGTCCAGGACAAACTGGAAGGTGCCCTGGTTGGCCAGCATGTCGTCGGCCGCCGCCACGGCAGGGTCGCGCTCCGCCGCCTTCCCGTTGAGGAACATGCGGTCCAGGACGGCCTTTTGGACCAGCTCATCTTTTTCGGCGTCGGCGGCGACCTGACCCTGGTCCTGCCTCTCCTGCGGGCTCATTGACTGCACGTTGGAGAGGAAGTTGGAGACGATTCCCGTGTCTGCCCGCCACTGCTCCGCCGCGTCGGCCATGGCTCGGTCAGAGGGCCGCGACGAGTCCTTGCTTCCACCGCTTCCGCTTCCGCTTCCGCTTCCACTTCCGCTTCCACCGCAGGGGATGGCGTATCCACCGCCGCCCATGAGGTTCATGGCGCCGTTCATGGCGCCGTTCATGGCATCGCAGAAAAGTCCAAAGGTAGGGACGGCGAGGACGCCGTGTCCGGTGAGCCCGACGAAGAGGGCGACGAGAGTGTTTTGGGGCCGCATCGTGAAAGCTTGGATAGGTTGTAAAGATGGGAGGCTTCGCCTGGAGAAAATTATGTAAAAAGGTTTAAAAGTGAGCACAAATGAACGGATAATGAGTTGATCAGTTGGGCGTCTCGGGCGTCTCAGAAGTGGATGGGCAAGATGTCCAGAAAGGAGAACTGGTGACTATTATACGTTCGAAACATTATATAGAAAACCACCCGATATTTGACGAAGATCCATTTTTGGTAGTTTGCCGAAACAAGGGTCTGGAGAATTAGAGGTGCATTTTGGATAATCATGCGCGATGACCTTTTCAAAGCACCCAGCGTTCGGAGGCGACATGAAACTCCGCGTCTGTGGTCGCGCCATGACTAACTTTTGGATAAGCATCCAGTCTTTTTTAATCCCGTTTTTCCGAAAGAGTTTGCTGCCGTCGTTGACGTTTCATCTTCGCTCGGTCAATCCGACTCGACGTCATGCTTAACTCTTGCAAGAAGTCCCCGAAAATAGCAAGACTGAAGCCCAGCAACTAGCCTGAAACCTGCAGGGTCGTCAGGAAACAGAAGAAGTTTCTTTTTTACAACCATTGGGTGTGGAGACGCATCTTCTGCGCCCTGGCAACTTGCTCCTTTATATCGGTGGTGATGCTGAAACTGCGCCTGAGCGTTTGCGGCATTCCGGGTCCTCGCTATCAGTCTACTTTCCCCGACGCGAAGGCGGCTCTTGAAGACCGTAGCCGAGTACTGATCACACGATCGGTGTGAAAATGTGTGAAAATACGTCAATAAAGAGCCGCGCTGTCTCGTCACCATCGCTTTCAAGCTTCTGCCAATGACTAAATGTTGTCGCCCGGATCGCGACGCTCTGAAGGTAGTATTTGCTGAACCTGAGACGACAACCAAGCATTTATTATCAACCGCAAGATCGTCAAAGAGGCACTTGCTCAGACTTTTCTCGCTTCCACTACCGTCGCCGTCCCGCTTCTCAAAATTCGAGCGAGGCTTCCGTCTCTTCCGACTGCCGCCCGCATTTGCAATGGGAGGGACAATACTCATCATAGAATTGATGACGGCGGTGCGAGACTGTCATACCGAGATCCTTTGTCTCCCACTTCAACTATTTCTTCCTGTCGGAAATCACATCTTGACGGGATCGATAACTACACACATCTACATCATCAAGAAAGAGGCCTGTCCTGATAGTTCTGTCTATCGGTATAGGGTAACTAGCCGACAACGTCCCAAGCACCTACTCCGGTTGGAAAGCGAAGCCCACGTGTAGATCTAAAGCAATAAATTATCTCACAACAGAAGCTAGGCATCTTCCCTAACACGATGAAAGACTTGGCTGAATATAAGTAAATATGTACATTGTTTTCTAATTGCGCTCCTCTAGTTTCGCCGTCAAAGCGCCGAAGGAGGCGCATCCGCTCTCGCAAGAGTCCGTCTCCCCACGTTTCTGGTCTTGTCCGTCTTCCAATTTAGCGTCCGGCAATGCTTACGGATCCAGTCCACGGGGTCGGTCTTTGGATCAGGGGAAGCGAGATAAATCATTTCCATTGATATAATTGCGCCAATCAATGTTGAGGGCTATCCAGATGCACGGGCCTTGTTCGGCGTCACCCGGCGTTTTGTGAAGCCGGTTGAGCTGATAGATCCTGATGGGCTGCATCGGCACAAGTTGAACCACGCCGACAACGTGCTAATAAGAGATTGCCCTCACAAGAGGCCATTGAAATCTAGACCTGAGTTGTGTTTGTGAATCCTACACTGAGGCACTACCCTCTGTTGCAAGTGCATGTTCCCAGCTGTCCATTATTAGACAGGTAGGGGTAGTTCCCTTCGCGCCGGGTTTCCAAATCGGCGAGACAGCAAGGGAAGGGCATGGAGCTATCAGGTAAGTCAATTGAATACTCGATGAACGTGATCTCTCTGATAGTTCCTGAATATCCACGACAATCCTCTTTAGGAAGGCGGGTTCCCGGGCGTTGCGACGCTGGCACCACTTGGTCCCCGATTAGTCGTCTGACATCACGGCGGCGGGGAGGTCAGCCTGGTCGAAGCTTTGTCCATCAATCACAGGGCTTCAAAATGTGACAAGTTGGGAATGGCGGCATCTTGACGCGACCTTTGTCGGTCCAGGACCCGGGTGCCATGAGGATTATTCCGAGAAATCGTAGATGATGGCCCTGGGGAGGGCCGTCGATGTCGCCGAGACCAGACCCGGATGGGCAGGCATCTTGGAATGGCGTGTAAGACGATGCAACAAGAAGCAAAAGGTTCGCGGAGATGCTTTCGAGTCTCTTGACGGCGAATACTATATCTAGAGACTCAAGTCCCTCGCTGTTCCAAGACTTGTCTCGATAGAATCATTCACAGCCTCCCTCTTTTCTCTTCTGTATTTTACTACATACATCCTCAATTGTGTATAAAAAGCCATCCCATCATGATTGCCAAGACTGCCATCTCTGCCCTCCTGGCCGGCGCTGCCATCGCGGCTCCCGCTACCCCCACGGCCACCGAGGTGGACTTTTCCATCGGTGCCCTGGACAGCCGCCAGCTCGGCGGCAAGGTCAACAACGGCGCCATCGCCAACTTCAACGCCGACAACACCAGGGACGGCATCGGAGCCGGCAAGGACGAGTACAAGATGTACTGGGGCGACGGCAGCACCGGCGCCGGCTGGCCGGACCGCAACCGCTGGGTGTCTTTTGAGGACATGTAAGCAGCCGCGCCGTCCAAGCACACTGGAAAGATATATTTTGTTGACTGGTTTTAGGTTTAACAACTACAAGCCCCAGATGTTTAGCTCTTGCGGTAACCAGGGTCAAGCCAACGATTCTGGCCCGGAGGTGGTAAGTCGACCCCCCAACACCGCCACTCACGTACACGGCAAGAACCTCGCTGACAACAGGGGCGCCACAAGGGCGCCATGTATGACGGGATCCAAAAGGCGGCCAAGGCATCCGGCGTGGACCACCGCTTCATCCTGGCCGTCATCATGCAGGAATCGGGCGGCTGCGTGCGCGTCAAGACGACCAACTACGGCGTGCGCAACCCCGGCCTGATGCAGGACCACGACGGCGTGGCGACCTGCAACGAGAACGGCCGCGTCCAGAACCCATGCCCGTCCAGCACCATCTACCAGATGATCTCCGAGGGTAGTGCCGGTACCGCCAAGGGCGAGGGTCTCGCGCAGACGCTCAACCGCTCCGGCCGTAGCGACGTCTCGGCGTTTTACCGCGCCGCGCGCCTCTACAACTCGGGCTCCATCTCGCACACGGGCAACCTGCAGGACGGCATCGCGACGCACTGTTACTCGAGTGACATTGCCAAGTAAGTTTTTCGTCTATAAATGGACGTGTTGGAGCTAATCTAACTTCTTCTGCAGCCGTCTGACCGGTTGGGTCAACGCCGTGTCCAAGTGCAACTGTGACAATGACCCCAACAGCTGCGGCATCACGACCAACTAAATGGCGATTTGAGGGGAGTTTTGATCATGTCTCATGAATAAAGCCCACGTACGGGATGCGCAGGGTCCTCATACATTTCTGGTATATATTGTTCGAGTTACCCTTGAGCTATTCTTGCAGGGCGTATATAACCGGCTGCCATGCCAGTATCTTTTCAATAAAAAGAACACTTATGTTTTTATAATCACTTCCCTCCCATTCTTTGAATTTTTGCGTCAGCTTTCTTGCATATGTTGCCAGGGCATTTACGTTAAATGGAACGTATGGGACATGTGTCTTGAGTAATCCAGCTTCGCTCCGAAGCGCAACTCAGTAGTATTCCTTAGAAAGCTATCTTCGTTCTCTACTATGGCTGTGGTTAGTCAAAGGTATAACATAACCAAAGGCACAACTTGACTGAAGGAATAACTTATACTGGCTCCTTGATGTTTCCTTTGCCTGTATCCCATTAGGTAACAGTCACGTCATTGCTAGCCATATTTGTGTCACTGGGCTACCGGGCTTGCGGGGATTTGCCCATATCGAGATCTTTCATGCCCCGGCGGACGCTCATATCTAGCATGATAACGATACTGCTGGGAATACTAGCATCAACCCAAGAACGAATCAGCTCATTTGTTCTTGATCTCTTAGAATGCAATGGCACCATGGAGGAAACGTGGCGGAGGAACATGCGGGCAGCCGGACCAAATTCCCTTACCATCCAAATAGAAAATGGATACAATTGACATGCAATTTCACATGCGAATCGTTCCAGTGCACTGGATACCTCACAGCGACTTGCAGTTCCTTGCGCTGCACCCACCCTATATTCGATAAATAGTGGTACCCGCGGTCGGAGCCGAGGACACCTTGGAAAGAATGAAAAAGGGGCGCCGCTGGACGCGGTGACATCAACACTGCTATTCATTCATCTCGATTTCTGCATGCTACAATGCAGAAACCATGATGAATAAATCGCCGGGGGCCGCCCGCCACCGGCGACGTGCTGCTCGCTTATCAGCCCGCATAAATTGTGCATTCAGCTTGTTTGATGGCACTGCAGTCGACGTGCATGTGCGTTTTCTTCAGTGGACGGTGTCTGCCTAGTTATATATGAAAGAAGAATCGCATACGATTGGACAGCGACATGGTGCCATGGATGACGACACGATGCGTTCCCTCCCGCATGGCAGCAAGAGGGGACGATTGCTGCGACGGCGTGCATGGACATCGGAAGCAAAAGCTCTACAAAGTTTAGTTGGGCTGGGCGAAGGCGTCAAGGTTTCGGATGCTGGGCAGACCCGGCAAGGAGCTGAGTCCCCGATGTTGCCTATTTCGGCCGATGTGGTTTCTCGTTCGCTGCTGCCACCTTTCTCCAGTCTGCTCAGCCTCGGCGCCTCTTTTTGGGGTATTTTTTTTTCGGATTGGGCGCAGATACCTAAATAGTAGAGCAGCGAGTGGCTGCCTTATTGTTGGTGTAGCAATACGTGGCGGTGAGTAGACCAATTCCGGCCTCAGTGGCCCTGTATTGGGCTGCAATGGTGAGAGAAGAAGTTTGTGGTGAGGGGGAGGGGAGGGGAAGACCAGGCACGGAATGTACATAAGTTGTTCGCTCCCGGTCGATTAGCCGGGATCAACAAATCGTTGTGGTTGCACCGCATTGCTTGACACCCAAGCTTGCAGCATGAGGGGGGCCGATGCATGTTCCTTTTGTTGGCTTATCATAGCAGGCATTCTAGCTGTTCAAGCAGCAGAATGGCAGAGGAAGGCTGCCCAATGGCAAGGCTGCGATCGGACTGTATGCATGGAGTTGTCGTCGCGGTGTGCATGTTCTCTCTGTGGACGGTAGCCTTGCACCAGCCGTCCCGTCAATGGGCCATTTTGTCTCACCAGAAGGAGCCCAGCACTTGGTCTAGACTACTAGACTGGAGGGTTTGGACACCGGCATATACAGCCTGTACGGATAGTTACTTGGCAACTACCATACCGATGGCGCGCCGATCTCTTTCCAGCCTGTGGCGGTCTATGGGATCCGATGAAACAAAAACGTGTCGCAAATGTAAACTATCATTGCCATGTCTTTAAATTTTGCCCAGTCCAGACAAGGCGAGCCAAGACAAAAAGAGGCTCTTGGTATTGGTCTTTCGGCACTGCTCAGAAGCAAAGCGCCAGGGGTATGGAGGAAAAGACATCTCCACAAGAGAAGGTTTACAATAGATGGGATTTTCGGCACCTGAGTCGACGAATAGAAGCGAAAAGAATGATATGGTGTGAAAGCGCATAAACTCATTTATGCGATTCAGATCCGCCATTCAGCTGGCGTTGACCGCTGGGGAGGGAGGGGTCAATCGGGTTGCGCGGCTCGTTCTGCGCAATATGTATGTATGTCTACGGTCAAGAAATAAAGGACGCAAAGCAAAAAGACGAGGAGAGAAAAGAAGCGCGACATACTGCAACGTACCATCATCATGCAGTGGAGCAAACGAGGGAGGGATTGTCAAGGTCAGCTAGCCAGCCAGCCCACGCAGCCTCCTCTGCGCCTTGTGCATTGTTGATACTGGCGATGGCACAGCTTTGGCTGCGATCTGTGGTGGTGCACGCGGCGGGGCCGGATCAATTTCTAGTGTCTGGGGTTCTTCAATAGCTCAGGACTTTTTGTACAACTGGGTTGTCCAAAGTAACTAGTAGATGAATGGTGATTAATTAGATTACAAGCTGTAACCACTGGTTAGTTATTAGTTGGGCAGTATAAGCGCGGTGGTACACGCTGTGACGCAATCCGTGCGCGATTACTTGCCTTTTAAGGAAGTAGACCGTGGTGCTGTGGCTGGAGATTGGCAAGGACGGCAGAGGGATCCGTAAAGGGAGGGGGTGTTTGTTACTGACACGAAACGAGAAACATTTGGTGCAAATGTAGGACTGTCGCTGGATTGACGAGAGACGGGGGCTTTGGAGACGAGAACAGGAATCTTCGGCACTTAAGTATGTTGACATTTTTCCTTATCGGCTTGGGTCCGAGAAAGGCCAAGCTGCGATGCTGTGGCTGAAGGCTATGTTGTGTGGGTGATGGTGGCTGAACAGTGATTTTGGTATGTACTGTACATACATACATAGGTACTACATAAGTTAGTTATGGTAGACGCTGGAGTTCTCTGTACGCCGGTCTTCCCTCCTTTCATCATGACACACCGCATTGCGCTGCAGATTGCTGGTCGCACATAGATGGGCATTTTAATTGACATGCCGCTCTTCCTACTCGCACACAATACCCTTCGTTCACATCCTTTCTGCTTCAACGTGCAGCGGCGACGGCACCGCCCAGAACCCACCACAGCCCGCTGTAAACTCAGCCCGCCCCAGCCTGTGATGCCCACTGCCCATCTCCACGCATCACCTGTGGCCAATCACGGCTTTTTATGTCATCCTCGCCAGACTGCCACGCCCAGCTGAACGTCGACAAATGCGCGCGCCCAGCTGCTGGTTCTCGAGGCGTAAACCTTTTCGGGCAAGTTTTCGGGGCCTCGTTCTTGCAGCTTCCGGCCGGGATCAAGGGCTTGCCTCATGCTGGTTGCTGCACAGGGTGCCGCAGGCCCCTCTTGGTCGCAGCTTGCATCAATAAATGTGTCTGTTCTGGGTTCTGGGTAACCACGCACGGCACCTGCGGGATCAAGGCAAAGGGCAATGGAAGCAACAGTGCCAGTGTTCGCTTATCGCCAGTGAAAAAAAAAGAGCCGTCTAAAAAAAATATGTGCGGAAATGCGCGAAAAAGAAAAGAAACTAAGAAGACGATTCAGGATCAAAAACTAGCCCATCACCTCATCGTCATAACGTGCCTCCCCCTCGCCTCAGCAATTGGGTACCTCGACTAGTTACTACCTCAGTAGGTACCTACAGTACAGCCTGATCGGCCCTGCTGATCTGACCGCGACAGACGGCCTGCTGGTACTGGCCTAGTGCTCGCCCCCAGCATCAAGCCGGCAACGCAAATTGACAATAATGTATGTATGTACATAGATAGGTATGTACTTGTCTTCTCTTGGCTCACCATTCCCTTCTCAGTCCAGTTTCCCCCATTTTCACACAAGCGCTAATCCTCTGGCCGTTCCTCGGGCCAAAAGTAACACATACAAACCGACCTTTATTGGGTCCCTCTGCCTCTGGCTCCCTCGCCAGCCAATTCTGCCTTGATTTTAGCCCGACAACAGAGGGTAGTTAGTTAGCGCTGCCCCCCAAACTCAAAAAAACATCACACTACCTCGTTAGCCCTCCTCTCCTCCACTCGACTTCCCTCCTCTGTCTCCTCCCTCACCTTCTCCTACCAACTTTTCTTACACCTCGAAGGAGGCTATAAAACCCCCAAAGGAACACGAGGCAAGGGAAACAGGTCGCATCTCAAACGACTCCTTTAAGCGGCTACCCAGATTGCTGAGCCGCTGGTCCCTTCAGCTCAGCATGATGGAAGCTCCAACACGCAGTGCGTCAATGGATCCCTCATACGGCCACTCTCGCACACGAACGACGTCGTCCTCCGTATTTCCCTCTCAGCACTCTCAGCACTCTCAGCACCCCCAATACCAGCAGCAGCAATACGCACAGCATCGACAACCGCCGCCGCATTCGCATCAGCAGCAGTATACCCAGCACCAGCACCAGCACCAACAACAACGACAGCATCCTCACCAGCTTCACCCACACCACCAGCACCACCCCATGCATCCGGGCCAACAGCACCACCACCACTCCCAGCCGTCGCCGCAGTCGGCTTCGAATCCCCAACTATGGCGCCGGTCGCCCTCCATCGGGGCCTTTAGCAACGCTTCGAGCTTCCAGCAACCGCCGCCGGCCGCCTACCGCACTTCAAGCAGCGATCTACGCCGCTCAACATCCAGTCGCTCCGTTACCACCCAGGGCGGCGCTGGCGGCGGCTACGTTGCTCTTCTGCGCAAGCAAAAAGCCACAGTTTGGTGCGAGCGTGCTCAGTACGAGGACCCTCGCGTCGTGGCCCAGCAGCGTGCCGCCAAGATGCGCGCCAACCTCGAGGTCGTTAGCGGCAACGCGGCCGGCCGCACCCAGACTGGCCTCGCCTCCGCCAAGGTCGCTGGCAAGATTCGCCACGGCAAGGCACCCCTCGTCGTCGGCTACGCCCCCGGCGAGACGCACGTCGGCGTCGGCGGCGTGCCCCTCCGACTCAGCGCTAGGGAGATTGATGGCGACGGCAGCGACGACGACGACAACAATACGGGGCCGATGATGGCATCGCGCAAAGAACAGCAACACCACCGCCGCGCCGGTAGCAGCGGTCGTAGCAGTACAGGCTCTGGCCGCCGTCAGCATCGCACCTCGGGCAACGGCACCCCCGCGCGTAACCCGAGCCTCGTTGGCACCCCTGAGCGCACCCAGAGCTTCGCCAGCAAGCCCCCGCAGCCCAAGCAGTCCATCGACGAGTCGGCCGGCCCGATTGACGATGCCGCGAGCGGCCGCGCTCAGAGCTCCCGCAGCGGCAACAGCGAGCGTCGCGACGACGTACTCGAGCTCGGCCAGGGCCCAAAGCTGGCCCACAACTCGAAGCTGCACTCGGCGCTCACTAGGGAGAAGAGCGTTAAGAGCCCTGAGGAGCTTAAGCGTCGTGGGAGCGTTGACGAGCGAACATCTACGCTGACGTCTGGTCGTCTCTTTATTGCCAACCCCGATTAAATCAATTTCCCGACAAGCCTCGCGCATGCGACTCGGGGGTTCCGTGAGAGCCACCATTATCCCAGCTCCAAATACTTGTCGAATTTTTCTTGTCACGTTGTTTTATACACCTACGTCTTTCGTTTATAATACCAGCGCCGCACGAAAAGCCGCATTCAATCGTTTTACGCATACCAATGGAAAAGGGGAAGGCGCGGTCTGTTGCATACAAGACATGGGATGGCGTTGTTCCTTTACTTTCTTTTGTCTAGGGGATTTGCAGGATATCAATTCCTTTTGTCACCATGCTTGGTTGTTTCTGCATTGGCATCGGACCTCATATACACACAGACATTTTTTGTTGACGAACAAGTCGCTCGTTGCTTGGTTATGTCATAATGGCCCCATTTGCTTTTCGCTTTCTTTCCAAGACACAACTGTCATAGGAGACGGATTGGGTACAGCGCCTGCTACTAATGCGGAGGGAGAGCAAACAGGAACTAGCGAATCGAATATTTTCTTCTCTGATAAATCCTCCGCTCCATTTGCCCTGTGCGCCTTTGTCTCTCGACTACAGCCGCCCGCTAAGCACAGCCGGTGATCCCCGAAGGCTGGTTAGCTGCCCTTCGTATTCTTAGATGATCCGCATGACGTAGTGGCTGTCAAAAACGAGCTGTCCTAAGCCGATTGGTCAAAAATCAATGTTTGAAGAGAATACGACTTTTAGTTTTAAATGCATGATCAAAGTTGACAGAATTGGATGACAGACCTTGCGGCTTGGTTGTCCGTGTTCGAGCCATCCTGTGCCGCAGGCTGGAGGGCAGCAACCAGCACGTCGTACAACCTACAGGTGACGACAGCCAAGCCGCCAACTTGTCGATACTACGTCTTCCTTTTGTCTCCTCATTTGACAATCCACAACGGGGAGAAACGAGGGTAGTCTTATTCATGTTACATTAATACAAAGAGGAGAGAGTAAAACCCCGTATCTACCTGATAGGCACAGTCGGAGGGCACTGCCCCGCCATTCCCCGATATTCAAGGGTCCCCACTCTCTCCTGCTCGAAGCCATTGATGACTAAGAAAACCACTTTGGGTACGTACCCTGTCGGTCGCGTCTCAGGGCCACGGGTCGTGCTGGAGGACGCGTCGAGGTGACGACCCTGGCCCAACGGCTCTTTCATCAACAGGCACGCGCCGCATTCACCTTTCTTCCTCTTCAGACCACCCGAGCGAAATCACCGAACCTAACAACGGCCCTCCCCAGATTGCAACGCTTTATCTCCGACCCGAAATCGCTTCTCTGGTTTTAATTGCCAGATTCTTTTTGTCCATTCATTGACGCTATATCGCCGACATTCATTTCGCACGCGCATCGTCGCTTCCAGGTCTCGTTAGCTGCAGAGCATAAAAGGAGTGTGCGATTACCCGGCTCATCTGTGCATTACGATTCATGCACGCCATTCACTCACGCATCAGGATCGAACGCATTCGACAATCGGCACATACAGTTTAGACTTGAATATAATCACACAGTCTCGTCCTAGCCATACCCGCCTCATTCTCGATGCCGCTCTTGGAGATGTCGGCCAACGTTCAGGAGCCCACTGCGGCCCGTAAACGTAGTCACGAGGAATATTCTGGCGACGAAGGCGGTGAAAATATTTCGATGGAGAACAAGACGCCTCCAAACTTTAGTCTGCGGCCATCAGGCATTTCTCGTGCGACAGCCTCGAACCATGCGGGTAGACCCTCACTAACGAGACTGCAGTTTTGCCACCGACTTCCAACAGCCTGATCGCTTCCACGCCCCAAGGCTCCCCTGCCCTCACAGAAACTGGTAGCAGTACCGTTGCCGGCAACTCACCCTCGCCCGAAACACCTACCAAGCCAGACGCGGGCGAGCGAGCTACCAACACCGCCGCATATTCAGCAAACCCCGCTGTGAAGCGCAAGAAACTAACCCTCGCAGAGAAGGATGCCCGCGAGAAGGAAGCGAACGAGAAAAAGGAGCAAAAGGAACGCGAGGCCGCACAAAAGAAGAAGGAGCGCGATGAGAAGAGTGCCCTGAAAGCTGCCGAGAAGGCAAAGCAAGAAGAGGAAAAGGCCGCACGCCAAAAGGAAAGAGACGAAAAGCGCAAGAAAAAGGAGGAAGAGGACAAGGCGAAAGCGGAACTACGGGAGGAGAAGAGGAAGTTGAAGGAGGAAGAGGAGAGACGTGCCCAGGAAGATAGAGAACGCAAGTCCCGCTCTCAGCCCAAGCTGACTGGTTTCTTCACCAAGCCCATGACGCCTAAGAAAATCACGGCCACGTTGGTTTCAAATTCAAGTCCAGCAAAGGGCGTCGGCAATACGTCAAACGGCGAGCCCGCGCCGAAAGGATACAGAGACATGTTCTTGCCATTTTTCATGACACAACACACTCAAATGGCCCCCAATGCCTGTCAAATGGACGAGGAGACCCGCGAAGCAAAGTCGAAAATACTGGACGAGTTCATTGCAGCAGAGCGCAGAGCCGATGTTGCGTTTGACCCCGTATCTCTGTTTGGACTACTTGGTGCGGGCAAACCTCGTGGGAAACAGCACCGCTCGGTGCGTCATATTATGGAAGCAGCGTACAAGGGAATGGAGCATTCTGGTAATGCTGCATCGCCGGAGGTTCTAAAAGCTGCTCGAAAGAAGCTTGTTGGAATTCCTGTCAAAGTCATTGCTTTTGCGCGAGATGTTCGGCCCCCATATTACGGTACTCTCACTCGTCTACCACTTGGTCCTGGCCAAGATAATATGAAAAGAGTAGCGCGTCGTTCTGCGAGCCGACGTCTGCAACTAGATTATGACTATGACTCAGAGGCCGAGTGGCAGGAAGAGGAAGGCGAGGACCTGGATGCCGAAGATGACGACGAAGAAATGGACGACGAGGACGACATGGATGGGTTCCTTGATGATTCCGAAGATTCCGGCCTCACGCGCCGCACATTCGGAAGTACTCTGGAGCCCGAAACCACTGGCATCTGTTTTGAAAACGAGAGCCAAAAGACATGCAGCCAAGCTGCGACAGAGAATAAAATGGAAATGATCCTAGGTATGCTATTGACCCCTACTTCAGCTGTCTTTCTCTATTTGCTGAACCTGCCAGACATTTTCTACCAAACCGCCAGCATTGATCCCTTTGCGACCTCATATTGGGAACCAGAACCTAAACAGACACCAACAACGGGCAAGAACATGCCACCTCCGCCAGCACCCGCCAATGCATTTGCCGCTCTGAGTGGTGGAAGTGCAGACAGCGCGCCGGTAAGGCTGGTCAAACCAGAGCTTATCAACGATGTGAAGAAAGCCATTTTGGAAAATAAAGCGCTCTCGAAGGTCGGCATTATCGATTTCATCTATCAGCACTTTCGTGACAGAGTGTCTCGCATAGAAGTGAAGAACACTCTGGAGCTTGTTGCTGAAAAGAGGGGGACAGGGAAGCTGAAGGAGTGGGATTTGAAGCCGGGGCACGAGATGACTCTGTAAGAGCGATGAGACACTGTAAATATCGGCCTGCATACACACATGCAGACATGCATACCAGCGTATGGAATTCACATTTAGCGCGGCGCATTTGGACTGAATTGCTTCATGACCACGCATGGGTCGCACATTGGTAGCCCCAAGACAAGACAGCGCAGTATATATTGCTGGATTCATAAGTTCAAAGATTGTGTCAATACCTTGTCGTCATTGCACAATGGCATAAGTGTTCTATTTTACGTCGGAGATGACAGCACACCGCCGCTCGGCTTCGTGGTGATTGTTGTGACAGCCTTGGAGCCGCTGAAAATCCCAGGGTCGAGTTGAAACTGTGGATGACTCACATGAGCATGATGAATCCCTTGAAAATGTATTTTTCCTTTTGTTCGCATTTTCTAACCCAGTGGCTCATACAATAGAAACGATCTCGGTGCCTCTCAACGTCATCCCACCTTCCCCTGTCTAGCGGCCAGTGGGGCAATCTGCAGGGGGAACTTGCATCAATGCTTCCAGTTCCTAGCAGCCGTTGCATGTCTTTCAATGCTGCATCAAGAGCCACGGGAACACCCTGTTGCATCGCAACAACTTCTTCGCCCAGAAACATTGCGACTGCAGCCATCGGACGTCTACAAGAACCACTCACTCGCTTTTTTTCTTTTGAATGGGGAGGCGCGCACGATCCGAACACGCACGAAAAACATTCCACGCCAGCTCGACATGAACCATTCCAGGACGAAACGATAGTAGAAAAGGACACGCGCGCGGCGTACGCAACCCATCAGACACATGAAATGAGAGACCAATCGTCCGAATGGAAGACCCGTGGAGTACGCCGTGGGCGATAGACACCCCGTCCGCGTCGCCCGGGCTGCCGCCGAGCAAACCGCAGCCCGTGGCGACGACGCTGCCGCCACTGCTGGGGGGCGGCCTCCTCACGCCCGCCAAGGACGACGGTGGCGGCGACCTGCACAGCTTTGCCGACTCTCCATGGGCCGGCGCGACGACGAAAGGCTTCGATGCATCGAGGGACAATCACAACGAGGACGATGGTGATAATGCATGGGGCGGCTGGGACGATGGCAAGCACAACGCCTGGACGGGCCCGAGCAACGACGGTCCGGCTGCGTTCAAAGAACCCTCGGGTGGATTTTCGGCGCCTTGGGGGTTGGAGGATCACAGACGGGAGGTTGGGCGAGAGGGCATCACTGACTCGGCCATCAGTTTTGGGGAGGGGGCGGGGCCCAAACTGGATGCTCCCGTGAATGAAGATGCGAAGAAGAATGCTGTTGCACTGTTGACAGACGAGCAAGATGCTTGGACTTCATCGCCGAACTACGACAAGACTCCTGTGCCGCCCATTACTCATGTTGCGACGGCCCCGGTGAAGGCGAAGGAGACAGATACTGTCGAACGACCGACCAAAGATGTCCGCCAGCAAGAGCTCGACAAGACACCCGAGCAAGGCTCACAATCAGACTCAGAGACTCCACAGCAGAAGCCATCCAAAGTGCAGGAGCTCGTTGACATGTACGACGGTATAGCAAAGAAGGCGGTTCGGCCACCCACAAACGCAAGCCCCCAAGATACAAAGCCAACCACTTCTGCTGAGCTATCGAAGGAGGACCTCACCACTCAGGATTGCGTCACTGATGAGGCCTTTGATGTTGAGAGAGATCCAAGTTCTGACCGAAATGAAGAAGGTGTGGTCACCAGTCCAAGGGAACAAGCATCGAGCACGAAAGGCCTCGCCATAGCAGATGAAGATCCAATATTAAAGGGCGATACAGTCGACGAAGATAAACAGTCGACGGCGATGCAATCCACAGCAAATACCAACAGCAATGCTGATGCCAGCTCTCACTCAACAGAAAACAATTTACCAAGGTCCGACATCTTGAAATCCAAAACCAAACCACCACCATACCCCATCGACCTATCCCATCTTGACGCTCTGTTCCCCGGCTGCCCACCCTCCACCGCACGTCCTGAGCCTGTCCCGGACGTGATTATTGACGGTTCGTGCACAACGACCTCTGAGCGCAAGACCTGGTATCGCATCTCCCGGTTCGGTTCCGCGCGCAAGCACGACAGCGGCGGTGCCGACGACGACAGCTACCGGCGCATCACATGGGCCACGTCCGAAGTGCGCACCAAGACGTTGCACATTGTGCGCCGCTGGATGGAGGAAGACTCGATCGCCGGCCGCGTCATCCTCGGCGGTGGCGGTGGTCGCAAGGGTGGTCCGCTGGGCGCCAGCATGTTCAACTGGGACTCAAACGAGCCTGAGGTCGAGATCGGCGAGCTGCTGCGGCAGCGCGCACAACGTGGCGGCGGTGGCAGGCACGCGAGGAATCGCAGCGTGCAGCCAACCGACACCGCGCCGCAGAGCCCGACGACAATGGAGGTGTTGGACGGCGGATGGGGTGGCGCAAATTTGAGCATGCCAGCCACGCCGTCTGTTGCTACGCAGTCGCCAAGATGGACGGAGGGGAGAGCGGAAGCGGCATTGCGGCCACCGGTAGACTCACCAGCCGATATACCGAGGTCGCCATGGGATGATGACGAGCAGGACGGCCCAAGCAAGCAAAGAGTGTCAACAGAAATCATGCCGCCACCGCCAGTGCCGACAAGCGGTGATACCGTAACAGCTGAGAGCAACAGCGCTTCAGCAAAGCCGGAACCAGAACCTATCAAGGCAGACGAGGACGACGACGGTGATGTGTGGGGTGAAATGGTATCGTCGCCAACTGTCGACTCGAGCGCTGGCTTTGCGTCCTTATCCGCGTCAGCGGATATTGGACCGATGCCACCGAGGCAGTCGTTCGAGGGAAACTTCAGCAGCTTAGACTTTTTCGAGTCCTCGACGCTAAAGTCATCGCGGGCGAACCCGCCGCCGCCTATCCGCACCGTTGCTGTGACAAGTCAAGGCAGATCAGTCGCTCCATCACCAATATGGACGCCTAGTATGAGCTCACCGGCCCTAGAACCGATGCGCGCATCCATGGACAGTACACGGATCAAGTCGGTGGTCGGTACGCCAACCCTCGCGAGTGCGCCTGCTCTGGAACCGCCGCGCGCTTCGATGAATTCTAACCGGATGTCCATGGAGCATGCTTGGACGCCGGCGGTATCCACGCCCACCACTGACCACAGGCCGTCGATGGAGAATGCCTGGACAGAGAAAATGGGCACGCCTGCAACGAATCACAGCTCGTCAATGGAGGAGGATTGGTCACGGAAGACTGACGCGACAATAGTCGCCTCCACAGTATCCGTGACGTCCTTGGAGCAGCCGACGAATAAGACGGTGTCCTCTGAGAATACAATTACAGTGGACGAAAGGGCCATTGTGGATGAAGCTCTTCGGGGCTTGCCAGATTTCTCCTACATGTTGCGTTAGGAACAGCGCGTTATGAATATTAAACGGGACAAAATTATAATATATTGTATAATAGTGTGCATAGCTTAGCGATCGCATAATTAACCCAACGACATCTTTGTATTACCACTCGAATCTCATTCTAACAAATAATGCCCTAGCTTCTCTATATGATTCTCAAGATTCCCACAATGCCAATATGATATTAGGTATATTCAAAGTCGAATAGCTCCTTCACCCGGTACGTCGTCCGCCGAGCCGTCGCTTGCTTGGCTCTTGCGCGTCGACGACGGCCGTCTCACGAACATGAGAGCCACCAGAGATATTCCGGCCAGCAGCGCGACGTAAAAGTACGGCAGGCCGGTGTACAGGCCCTTCCTCTCAAGCCCGATGTTGAAGAGGTACGCGAGCACTGGGGCGCCGAAAAACGACCCGAGCACCTCCGCGACGCCGATGAGCGCGTAAAGGCGGGAGGTGTACGCCGGGCGGACGTAGTGGGACACGGTGGCGCGGGCGAGCGGGCTATCCGCGGTGCTGAGCGTGGAGACGACCAGCCCGAGGACGAAGACGGCAACGCTGCCGGGGCTGAGCCCCTGGACAACCGCGCCGATGACCAGGAACGCGGTCGACGCGCGGGTCAGCAGGAGGTCCTTGCCGAAGACGGAGAGGCGACGCCGGACGAGCAGGTGGTCCGCGAGGCGCGGCAGGCCGCCGAGGACGGCGAGGCCAAGCAGGCCGACGGGGGAAAGCAGGACGGAGGTTTGGCCCAGGGTCCAGCCGTAGTTCTTGGAGACGTACTGGACGAGCGTGGAGGCGTAGGCGGTGACGCGCGCGTTCTGGGTGAGGAAGGTGACGAGCACGAGGGGCACGCTGGGGTCGCGCAGGATGCGCAGCGAGGCGCGCAGGTCGTCGAGGCCCTGGGCCATGCGCGCCCGAAAGGTGAGCTGGGCGGCGGGGGAGGTGGTGGTGGTGGGTTGGACGGTGGGGAGGGTCTCGGGGAGGAGGAGGAGCATGCAGATGAGGAACGGGGAGGTGGCGATGACGAGCCAGATGGGCACCCAGGGGCCGAACTGGGTCATGAGAATGCCGGCGAGGAGCGGGCCGAGGAGACCGCCGGCGGCGGAGCCGAGGCTGACGTATAAGAAGTTGGATGCTCTTGGGACGACGGGTGTTAGCACGAGGTCGCAGATGGAGAAATTAGCGGTGGCAACTCACTTGTCAGCCTCGGAGCTCACGTCGGCGGCCATGGCGTACAGCGTCTGCAGCAGGACCGGGATGCCGCCGCCAGCGGCCTGGAAGATGTTGCCCCAGAGGAGCAGGTACGGGTTCGCGCGTATGCTGCCGCGCAGCGGCGGGCCGAGCATGAGCGGGGTGAAGAAGAAAGAGGCGAAGACGCCGATGTACGCGAGCAGCGCGGTGGGCTTGCGGCCGAAGCGGTCCGACATGGCCCCAAACGGAAAAGCAGTGACGAGGGCTGTTGTTGCGTGGTCGTCAGCACAGGAACCAATCATGCCTAGATGTAGATACATATACATGGGCGGCCTGCGACTTACTAACTAGAGACCCGACGAGACCGGACCAGCCGAGAAACGTGGCCAGGCGCGCCTGCACGGCGTCGTCCTTGCAGCGCATCTCGTCGAGGAGGCCCGGCGAGGCGTCGTCGAGGACGCCGTGGCAGATGGCGTCCTCGATGAGGCGGAAGAGCGGGACGAGGAGGGTCATGCCGCTGCAGACGATGCAGAACTTGGAGAAGCCGACGAGCAGGACGATGAGCCGCGGGGAGCTGACCTGCCACCGGGCAGCGCGGAGGGGGCACCGGCGCGGAGCCGGAGCAGGGTCACCACCACCAACGTCGCCGTCTGCTGGTGCTTCGGCCGCTGCATCATCGTCAAAGAAGTGGTCGGCCGCGGCCTCGTCGAGCGGGAGGAGGCGGGTCGCGGTTTCATCGTCCGACTCATGGTCGGACCTGTGAAGCGCCATGATGTGAGCAAGTTCGCGTACAGCCTAGGTTAGGCGAGCTTGCGGCGCGCGGTCAAGGGTACGTGCGATTCGGGGTGAAGGTGGTAGTTAGAATGAGGTGAGAGATGAGAGCCGCCATGAAATCTGATAATGGGAAACGAGAGTGAGATGATGAAACGTCAAGTTGAAACCAAAGGTGGCCAAGATTGAGGCTGAGAATGTCTGGCGGGTCACACACACACACAGCCTTGTTGGCTGATGACGGCAACAAATGCGAGCAATGCGATAGGCTGAAGCTTATTACCCTATAGAAAGGGCCGCTGGAAGCCACCATGACGGGAAGCTTGCGTATACCGGCGGGGCTTTCTTGACGATGAACTAGTGCGAGAAACTCTATTTAAAGCCGTTGGGCAATATTGGATGATTTTGTGGTAGTTCCAGCATACAGACTCGCATAGTAGTAGGACCATTCCCGTTGTCTTCCATTGTGCCTGAATGGGCCTTGTAAAAGACATGAGCGGGGTAATAAGATGGGAATTTATATCCCAATCGAGATACAAGCGCCAACCTCCTCTTTCTACTTGGTATAGAAACTGGGACCTCAATCACTTCGCCTACTGGTGTCATAGAGTAGATGTTGTGACAAGTGAAGACATTAACCGGACGGGAGAAGACCTACAATAAACAAGTAAGCAGCCTCCTTCAAGCCCTCGCAAGTGACGACAATATAGGGTCCATGTCCATCAAGGTACGAGAGAAAACCCGTTGGACTTGTTTCGTCGCCCAACCAGACATTTCATCGTTTACCTTGATTGATTAGCCTGGGGACGCTTTCCGGACTTATTATCTCTACCTTCCATGTCTCAACTGCTAGATGCTGACACTTTGGTTATAGTCTTGCTATTAGTGGAAGCCCAAGTTCCGAGGACCCGCCTTGGTTGTTGATCGCCAAGATCCCACCAATGAGGGCTAATCTGGAGCCAATAATACCGATAATAATACCGTACCTGGGGGAGATTTTAGTCCAGGGACTAAGCAACATGAAGTCAACCAGAGCGAAGTATGCATGAGTGACGATGGTTTGTATACTTACCACCAGCTTCCTTTGGCAAGAAAGACGTCTTTCTTTCCTGGTTGCGGAGTTTCAGAAAGCCCTATCGAATCAAAAATCTTTCGGCTCTTAATTGCTATTGATGCCAAGGAAACAAACAGGATGGCCAAGGTGACATGGTGGAATAGCTTCCGTCGGGCTGACGAGCTCCCGCTGATTGTCACGATCTACCCGTGCTCACAGAGTCAATGCGTCTACAGCCACCAATCAATTCCGGATTTTATTTGTTTGCGGATCTATTTCTCCATGATAATTGTTCCTTGCGGAAAGATACCTGTCGGGAATAATTCTCCATGAAAGCCCGCAGTTTGAAGCAGCCCTCGAGTATAAGAACTAACGTAGGCCCCCTCAGCAACTGTGAGCGGACTGTCGGAATCCCATCACTACTCACCATTCTTATATAAATTCACATAAACTGATCAACCATGCCTTCCTTCGCCTACCTTTGCACCGCTGCCATGGCCGCCGGCATCGCCCAAGCCGCCACCAACCCCAAGGCCCAGGGCGCCTGCTCTCCCACCAAGGGCGGCTCCGGCGCCTGCGGCCCCAACGGCTCCGAGGCCTGGCTCAACACCGGCCTCACCGGCGGCGGTTGGAACCCGCCGCACCTCGGCATCAACGAGCTCACCCACATCAGCCTCGACCAGTACTACAAGGGCGTCGGCAAGGCCTGCGGCAAGTACGACAAGGAGTTCCAGTCCGCCGGCAAAAAGCACAACATCGACCCGGCGATCCTCGCCTTCCTCGCGATGCAGGAGTCGTCTTGCAACGCCGACGAGGGCGGGCCGACGCCCGGGCTGATGCAGTGCGCGCCGGAGAACTGCCAGAACGGCAAGAAGAGCTGCCAGTACCCGGTGCAGGACAACGTCGACTGCGGCGCGCACGTGCTGCGCGCGGGGCTGGACGCCAACGGCGGCAACGCGATCAAGGCGATCGGCGCGTACAACGGCTGGTTCACGGCCGGGTCGGGGCGGAATGGGAACAAGGGCATCACGGAGAAGTATCCATGCAGCGCGGAGGGGAAGCGCAACGGCCTCCCGCAGAACCTCGACTACATCCACGAGACCTTGAATGGCTGGTTCCAGGGCTACGACATGTACGGCAAGGATAGCGGGCTGCACGGCAAGTATGACTGCAAGGGAAGGTGCACGGGCAGCAACCTTTGCTAGACGCTGGATGCGGGAAGGCTGCATAGTATAAGGAGCATCTTGGTTGCTGCTGAATAAGGCAGCCATCGATGCCAGGGGGGACTGACAAAGTTCTCATCAATGTACATAAAGTTAAAGGAAATGGATTTTACTCCTCAGCTTTCGACGATAATGTCATGGGAGAACAAGCTATCAACAGAATAGATTGCAGTATCGGGTAGGTTTCACTGTAGGGTAAGTTATGTCCGGCCGAGCCACTTGGACTTCCTCTGCTAAACTACATTCACCAGCTATGCTCACCACCACTTGTCATCGGTCAAGTGACGAATCACATTCGTTCCGCAGTGAACCTCACCCCCGTTGTTGTGATGCGTGAACCACTCGTCCACGTAGCGCACCGTGTAGCCCGCCTTGGCGTACGCCTCCTCCGTCGCCGCGGCCATCACGTCCTTCCCGTCAATGACCGGGCCCCAGGGGTTCGGCGCGATGATGGTCTTGTCGTCGACAACGACGCTGTTGACGGTGGCCGGGTATAGCGCGCCAACCTTGTAGATCTCCTCCTGGCGACGCTCTGCGCGCCCGCCGTGCGGCTTGGCCGCCGCCATCGCGGCCGCCTTGGCCTTTCGCTGGCTGGGAGGCGTGCCGGCGTCCAGGACGCTGAGACCGCCACCGGTCCTGCCGCTGTCATCCTGGCGGCGGCGGAGGCGGCGCGGAGCCTCAGCGGCTCCGTGCGGGTTGGTCGCGGCCATTGCTGCCGCCTTGGCCTTGCGCTCGCCGGGCGGCGTGCCGGCATCCAGGATGCTGAGGCCCCCGCCGGTCTTGCGGTCCTCGTCGCGGCGACGTGTGATCTGAGCAGCATCGTTGGTCTTGTCTTCCTTCTCCCCGGAAGCCCCGGCTTTGCCCGCGTCCTCCTCAGTAGTACCGGCGTCGTCTGGCTTCTCCTCGACAGCGCCGGCGTCCTCCGCCCCCTTGGTCTCCTGATAGACCCAGGGGTCCACCACGCCCAGGTAGCCCTCGTCCAGCGTGTACATGCCCGGCAAACGAATAATGTCCTCGTCCGTCAAGCCTGTCTCGCGCTTCAGGATCTCCACGTTGCGGTCAATGTACCCGGCCGTCGTATTTTGGTCCTTCTCAAAGAGGCGCTGGCCCAGCAAGTCATCAATCGTGGTCGTAATGTTCCACCGCGCCGGGTCCGCTGGACTACGCTTTCGGGACGTCGCCTTTTCCTTGCCGTGTCCCGCCGCCTGCGCCTTCTTCAAAATCTCTACGCCCTGACGCGGGTCGCTGACCACCATCACCCAGCCGAGCTTCGCACTCTTGGAAGGCAGGAACTGCACGAACTCGTCCGTGTGGCCGACACTCAGCCAGGTGGTGTCGAGCTCGATCGGGGCCTGTGCCTCCTGCGCCTCCAAAAAGGCGAACATGTGCGGTTTCGTGCCATCCTGGCTGCCCAGCACGGCGCGGCCGGCGGAGAACGACTTCCCGCCGGCGCCTTGGTGTGGCGGGACCGTCTCCAGGTTGCCGGTCGAGTCGGTGGTGTCACCGTCGGCGAGGTGCTGCACGGCGCCGACGGTGCCGGAGCGCAGTTCCGAGAAGACCATGCGGCCAGCGGCGCGATGCTGCTGCGCGGAGCGGATCATGACGTGCAGCCCGACCGGCCGCCCGCCATCGGGCCCGGGGATGCTCATGTACCCGGGCTCGAAAATGTCCTGCACCCAGCGCTCGTCGCAGCCCTCAAAGGTGTGCAGGCTGACCGATGCGCCCGCCTTGCCAAAGTCCTCGACGAACTGCTTCTGGGCGGCGTCCCGGGACGGCGGGATATCGGTCTTCCCGTCCTCGCTCTTGTATCCCGCAGAGTCCAACTGGCCCGTGACCAGCTGTTTGGCGGCCTGGCCATGGTGCTGCGTCAGGACCGGGGCCACCCGGAGCGCGACCGAGTCCCGCACCTCCTGGCCCTTGTCCGTGACCTTGAACTCGACGGTGGCCTTGCCGTCCCAGCCACCCGGTCGGCGGACGTCGCGCCCGTCAATGCCGAGCTCGAGACCGGCCTTGAGCTCCGCGGCCGTGAAGGTGTGGTTGGCGGCGACGAACTCCCACTTGCCGTCGGCGGAGGGCTTGTGGAATAGGCGGACCTTGGACGCGGCCACGCTGCGGGTGACGGAGACAGTCCCCGTGGCCGAGTCGCTGAGCCCGGGGATGGGACGGGTGCGGAGCGGCGCCAGGTAGGTTGCGTTGCGCAGGATGTTGTCCGAGGCGTCGTGGCAGGCCGAGATCTTCCTGTCCACCTCGTTGATCTTCATGTACTCGCCCCCCCCGCTGACGCCAAAGTTGCGCACCATATCTTGCTTGTCCTTTTCCAGGCTCTTGAGCCACTTGTCGGCCTCCTTGGGGTCCGCGGGCGGGTCGACGAGCTTGGTGTCCAGGACGGGCACCTCGGGCGGCTCCGTCTCGTTGAAGATGGCGCCGAGCTGGCTGGCACACCGACCGGTGATCTTGGAGGAGCATCGACGATCCGTGTCGACAATGTTGGCGAGGAAGAGGGCGCCGACCTCGTTGGTCCACGTCTCCTTGCCGGCAATATCGGTGTCGCCCGTCACGTCGACCTTGCCATCACGGTTGGTGTCGGCCAAGATGGTTACCGCGAGTTTTGTGCTGTTTGTAGCGGTAGAACCCTTGGGTCTACACTTGCCATGGGCAGCGGCGCTGGCGAGTTGCAACCCGCCTAGAATGAGTGATAGGCGCATCGCGAGTATGGTTGCTCGTGATCGAATCTGATAAGGAGAGACTCGGTGAGTGAAAGTTGTCGCCGCCTTTACGATGTGGGATGCTTCTCGCGTTTATATACAGGGCATATTCATAGAATCATTTACTATCATGCTAGGATTCTTTCTCCTACGGATTGCGCCAAGCTTCTACACACAGCCTGCCATGACTCGTTATGGCTTGGACACGCCTTACTTAGAGCCATGCCCTGATCACGACCATGTCATGTCTGCGTTTCGTCACACAATGCTATGGGCTATAGCTTTAATTCAAAAGCCATTTATTAAAGGTCGGATCCATGATCCATGGAATTTAATCTGCAACTACCGACACTCGCAGCAGGGCGGGCGCAGTCTTGCGGGCTTCGATGAGCCGACCTCCTTGCCCGGAGAACCCATGGTGCAGTCTTGCCCATTTTCGTCGGAAATTTCCGCGATTTCAATCTTCAAGGCTTATTAAGCCTTCGAAAAAATAAATACTAACGTCATATCATGTCACCGTGGCTGTGTCCAGCAACAACTAGGCTCAACCTCTATCAATCGCTACGTTACACGCTAGTTTTACACCCAACCAGTGGTCTGCGACGCCGCATTTGACAGCTGCCAGTGAAGAATAACAAAATGTTATAATGAAGCCGACTTAATAATAGCTCTGCTGTTCATCCTTGTTTCCGCTCCCGGCTTCGTCATTCACGGCAGTATTTGATGAACAAGAGTTCTCTGTTGTCATGAATCACTAGACCTGTTCCCCAAGCATAAAACGCATCGTGTACTGAGCTTTAAGTCGGCTAAGAAGTACGCCGCAGCTGTCACTGAATCGTGAGCATTGAGTCTTCCCTGTCAGAGAGAGAGCGCATATAGCATCGAGGGCATATCCGCCTCTATTCGGAACTGCAACAAACACTAGGCTTGAGCCGTTGCATTAAGTCTCAACATTTTCAATCTTGATCAAAATTATTAATCCTTTTTTATTATCTCAACTCGGAGAATGACTAAATCTCTCCAGTCTCAAATCTCATTCAAGCTGTACTTTGACGTCCGTCACTAGCTTGTGTCCCTGAAGGGTCCGAAACACCTTTCATAATTAACAACTAACTAATAACTACCCGTTACACCATCACACGACACCTAGAGTATCAAGTATTATAGCTCTACCCACCTTCTAAATGTCAAACCCGCATTGGGATTCCTTTTATAAGGGTCAGCGCGTGACAATAAGTCGCTCTCCAAACGAGACTTGCTCAGCCTCGCTTCGCAGCCATATAGTCCAATCTCGCAAATTTAACCCTCTTGTGGAAATTTTAGCTTTTTGTCTCTAATATTCAAATCTCCAATCTGCGCAGCTATTGCAAAAACCTGATCACGCCCACTCCCAGCCCTATTCTGCCCGGGCGTACACAGCTTAGCACAGTTAAGACTCCGTCGCTGATGACAAACGAAAGAGAGCCTCGCGCTATATTATAGCAGGGGGGTTGGCTTTTATGGCTTTTGTTCCAGGTATCCCATGCTAGGTCTAGGCTGAGAAACACGTCTTGAAGAAGCAGAAACGCAGCCTCTTTCACTCACTCGATCGAGTTTAGTCACGCAACTGACGACTCGCGTCCGCTGCTTCGACGGGAACGGTACCAGTCTGTCTCGATGGAGCGATCTTCTGCTAGAAATGTTATTATTGACCTTGAGTCTCGAAGCTATTGGGTATAGTTCGAAGGGAACTGGCTCCATCCGGCACTTGTGTGCAATGCTATAACCGCGAGGTACTTGTGTGCCGGCGGCACCGCAAGCCCACGTAGGTTTGTTTAACGATTCCCCGCCGTAAGTAGATTGACGAATGCGCACACTCCTGGCTCGCAAAGAATTACTTGAAGCCTCGCTAAAAAAGACTTGCGAGTGGAATGAATGGCAAAGCGGCCTCGGTTGGGAGGCGCCCACTTACACGACCATGACCTTCTTCTCTGCAGAACATGGCATGGTTTGCTTAATTTTAATTTGACTGCGCTAATATTTCACACGTAATTCTCTGGAGAGAATATTCACGGCAGATAGAAGACAGAGGGCGAATGAATCGCGGGTGAGTACCTACCTCCATTCACATGTGAGTCAAGTTTGGCTGGTGTTGCAGGGTAGACAACTTAGCAACGCTGGGCATGCCATGCCAAGCATGGTTGTAGATTTGATACGGATGATGAAATTATATATAATACTTTTTACTAACAGCCGGTTGCAGCGTGACGGGAGGTTCCGTCCCCGGGCGGAAATCCGCCGACTACGGATCTAGGCGGGACACGGCAGACATTGTAAGCTGCGGGACCTTAACTTGCCGGTATTGAGATTTGCACAATGTCACATGAGGGGGCTAGTTAGTTAATATATATGTAACTTTGTCTATTCATTTTGGCCCTAGGACCAAGTATTAGCCGTGTCTTTGTTTTGTTTCTACATGTCATCTTATCATCATCGTCTCATCATCATCCCTCGCGATGTCTTTCTTCTTCTAACTCCGTCTTAGAGTCACCTGTACCAAGGATAATACACTGCCTGGTACTTTAACCTCACCGACCACGCGAGGACAGTGGACTAGGTACTGGTGGCAAATCTTCTTCTATGTAGATAGCCTCCCGCTAAATTAGGACAGAGCTAGCCCTTCTATGAGCTCTTGTTGGCAGAGGCCGCCCCCGGGGGTTTTCTTCCTAGGTCACAGTGGCACTATTTTTATCCAAACTGTCTTAGAAAAGGAAGGTAAAATTCGACTCCACCTCGGCTTATGGATAATGACAGCTGAAGTTCCGGGGTCATCTTTCTGCCTATCTTAATAGGCTATCTCAGTAAGCTATCGCCCATGGCAGAAGACATTGTTAGAAACAATAAACAATGGCGATCGTGGCTTTAGGGGAGTCTCACTGTAGTTGGTGAAACATCAATCTGTGTCGCTTACCTACTCGGCTGGCTCCTCATGCAAGCAATGTCGCAAATGCATCATAGTCGGCGAAGGTCATTGTCAACGTGTGGCATTGATGAAGGCCGCCCCAGAGTGTCCATGTACCAAAGACGACGGCGCCCATCGCCAAGTCTCCATCGCCAAGGCAGCAGCCACAAATCGGACAGATGAGTTGAATAGTGATCGTCGCCAAGGAACCAAGGGGAACTTGTGTTCTGCGCCAACTCGCTCCCGATAGGGCCATGGCCTTCTCCCCTCCGTCCAGGAAACATGCAATATTCCTTACAAGTTCAGTTTACACATCGCAAGACGATCTGGTTGATAGAGTAATCACCAGAAGAAAGCCAACCTGCTCCTCTTGGCCTAGGGAAAGATCCGGCACTGGCTAGCTCATCCCCGGGGTGCAGCCAAATCCCAGCATGCGACGCTGCATAGCCAGTCGCTACCTAAGCTCACTGCCTCATCGACGTGGACAAGTCGAGGAATATGACGGTACTTGTTAGGCAGTTTACATTACGGAACGGAATGCCTACAAGAAGATCAGCTAAACTAGTAATAGAAGGAAGTTCCCTTAAACATGCAATCACCGATGATGAACAACGTAAGGCACGCCCGCTTACACGACCAATTGCTGCACAAACGAAACAAAAGTTCTACAACAATGCCGGTCGGGTTACTCAACCTTCCTATTGTGGAAATAGATTCATATTCAACATGTCTTGAATAGCTTCACGACCAAGCATAAGAAGGCCGCCTGTTCTCCTTCCCAATGGACATTCAGCATCCCAGTCGGTCTCATCATCTCATCCCTCAAAGCATACAGACAAAAGATTCTCAGCATGGTTTCCTTCTCCAAGATCTGCTTCGTCGCCGTGTCGGCCAGCAGTGTCCTCGCCGCTCCCGCTCCTCACGGCCCTCTCGTCAAGTTTGGCGAGCTGAAGAAGCTTCCCACCAAATGGGTTGCTACTGGTGCTGCTGACGGCGATGCTGTCATCAAGGCTCAGATCGGCATCAAGCAGAACAACATCAAGGGTCTCCAGGACAAGCTAGCTGACATTGCCGACCCCAACAGCCCCAACTACGGCCAGTGGCTGTCCAAGGAGGAGGTTGCCAAGTATACCGCTCCTGCTGAGGCTGATGTTGCTGCCGTCAAGGCCTGGCTCACCAGCGCTGGCATCACCGAGGTGACTATGCCCACTAACGAGTAAGTTGCCGCTTTTTTCCTCATTCTCAGCCAGGTTCAAGTTCCTGGAAGCTAAATGTCCTCCCAGTTGGCTTGAGTTCTCCGTCCCCGTCTCCAAGATGGAGTCTCTTCTCGGAAGCAAGTACGAGTGGTTCGTCCACCTCGAGACTGGCGAGAAGGTTCCCCGTACCAAGGAGTTCTCCGTCCCCCAGAACCTCCACGGTCTCATTGACGTCGTCACTCCCACGACCGTCCTCTACCACAACATCAACCCCCACTCCCACGGCAGCGAGCTCTCCGCCGCCGCCTCCGGCCTGACCAGCCCGGCCTCGATCAAGTCGGCCTACAACGTCGACTACCAGGGCACCGGCAACACTCTCGTCGCCACCACCGGCTTCCTCGGTGTCGGCGCCTCGCACAACGACTACCTCGCCTTCGGCCAGCAGTTCTCGCCCGGCCTCAAGGACTTCTCGGACGTCAGCGTCAACGGTGGCAGCAACAGCGGCGACGGCAGCGCTCTCGAGGGCAACCTGGACACGCAGTACTGCGGCGCCTTGGCCTCGCCCAACCCCAGCGAGTACCTCGCGCACGCGCCCGAGGGCAGCGACAACAACTCCTTCAACGACGCCATGACGGCCTTTGGCAACTACCTCAACTCGGCCAGCAACCCGCCTTCGGCCGTGTCCACCAGCTACGGCGGCGAGGAGGCCGGCGTCGACGCCGGCTACCTCGACCGCATCTGCAACGAGTTCATGAAGGCCGGCTCCCGCGGCATCTCCATCTTCTTCTCCTCCGGCGACAACGGCGTCGGCGGCAACGGCGAGCCCTCCTGCCAGAACGGCTACTACCCGCTCTGGCCCGCCTCCTGCCCCTACGTCACCACCGTCGGCGGCACCGAGTTCGACGGCTCCGGCCGCGAGGTCGTCGCCAACTTTGAGCAGTACAACAAGAACATCAAGTCCCCCGGCGGCGGCTACTCCAACCACTTCGCCGCCCCCTCCTACAGCAAGAACGTCACCACCGCCTACGCCAACTCCCTCCCCGCGGCGCAGAAACAGCGCCTCAACCCCAACGGCCGTGGCTTCCCGGACATCTCCCTCGTCAGCGTCAAGTTTCAGGTCAACGTCAACGGCCAGAACAGCCAGGTCCTCGGCACCTCCGCCTCCAGCCCCAGCGTCGCCGGCCTCGTCGGCCTGCTCAACGACTACCGCAAGACCCAGGGCAAGCCCAACCTCGGCTTCATCAACCCTCTCCTCTACTCCGGCAATGTCAACGCCGCCCTCCGCGACGTCACCTCCGGCTCCAACAAGGGTTGCGACAGCGTCGGTCTCCCTGCCAAGTCTGGTTGGGACGCCGCCTCGGGTCTTGGATCCTTTGACTTTGGCCAGCTCCGCACTCTCATCTAGAGTAGTAGCAACTGGAGCAAGTATCATGTCTCTTTTGTTCTATTTTTTTCATATGACGCCAAGTACATAAACATCACAAGTCTCTAAATTGAATATACAAACTTTTGCCTTCAAGATAAGTGGTATCCATCACGAGACGGTCAGTCGTAGCATTCCTCGGTGTCACCGTTCAGGTCTTTGGAGTATTGCTTGCAACGCTACGTAGGATTTGGTTGCGAAGTCTTGAATACTTGGAATTAGTTGTTCCCGTCACACCGCCACGGTCACGAGTGCCACGCGACAAAAGTATCATCAACCACGGATTCCACATCGGCAGAGGACCTCGTTGACAAAGAGAACATCCTGGAACGGCAAATTCCATCATGCTCTACCGCAAAAACTGTAACTGTCAGTCTCTAACCTCGAGCACCTGCTTCATCGCGACTAGCTCAAGAGTAGAGGTTCTCGCCGGCAGCCAGCAATAGCGTCCGCGCCGCCAGTTACCCTTGAGCATAGCGCTATTTCTCTTGACTAAATGCGATGAATAAACGATTCGCACCCGCGGAGGTGCGTGACCCGCCCTGGGACCAACGCGTTGCAACAGCCACTAGGAAGTAGGCAGCGTAGATTATCGTTGGGAGTAGCTCTAGTAACCCCGAGAGTGAAGGGGTCACGATGCAGCTCTAGGGTATGGGGGCCGCAGGGTGTAGATCTACATGGGGCGCCCGCCGTGGCTGTGTTAGCCAAGTAGCATTATTACGGAGCTAGGAGCCTAATGAACGAAGTTTAGGTCTTAAGCTAAAATGACAACGGAATGATTCCCGTGAGATGTGTATTCGGCATGTATCGTGCTCATGGACTTTGGCAGAGTGTGATTAGGCCGAGGCTGTATAACAGAGATTGTTTGATAAGAGCATGATGGCAAAGCTAGTGCTTTAAAGTTTTGCAACATAGCTTTGCAGCAAATTTCCCTCTTTCATGATCGTTTCACTTCTCTTAGCGAGGGAAGCATAACTCGCTCGATCGAGTCTGTGCACAGGCAAGTTGAGTTGGTCGACGAGTTTGTGTCTGTGTGAACGAGGCCAGCCACAGTTCAACTCTCTGGCTCATGCAAGAATAGTTTGCTTTATTTTTGTTGAAAAAAAGGGAGGAATGCCAGTTCCGCGTTGAATGTCTCTGGAGCCTCTACATCTAGATTAATAAATCTCGGCCGACTTTAACTCAGGGCATGAATCCGCTTCGTCGAAACCAACAAGGGTGACCCGCCACAAAAGCGCCACAGCAGATAACCCTGTAGATGGCGCTAAAGAAAACACGCAAAAAGGCCGCAAGCCACACGTGGAGGTGGCGATGCATGACAAAGCCAGCGACGGATGTCGTCAATGTGTCATCAGATCATCTTCATCCCACACATTTCCCTCTTCATATCTAAGATGGCCATCTCGATCCGATGACGCTTGTTCGGGTGAACCTTCTTCACAACACATATATCGTAACCGGGTGACCCTGTCCAGCGAGTTTCCCCGTTCCTCTGTAGCCGCCGCTCCGGTGTGGCGTTGCCGACATTCCAGCCTCAGCTCAATCTGTTCACCGTCAGAGGCCACGCACTTACGCATTTGCGCTCGCACCGACCCAGACATATCCCTTCAGTCCTCAAGACTGGTTTTGCGATGATTATCGACGGCGAAACTTATGCGTGCGAGGGCTGCATCCGCGGCCACAGGACGCGCAACTGCCAGCACAAGGGTAAGCAACATGGCGGACATTGCTCGGGTCGTCGCCGTTGCTAATCATCAGCCACCAGATCGCCCCCTGCAACATATCAAGGCCAAGGGGCGCCCGGTATCACAGTGCAACCACTGTCGCTCAGAGCGCAAGAACAGGTCGGCGCACGTCAAGTGCCAGTGCGGCAAGCGGGCGTCCGAGGGAGGCTCAGGTACGCCACTCCCCAACCCCAGTCATCAGAGTTGTCGACTAACCACGCGGATAGACTGTGGTTGCTTCTCTGGTCAGAAGTGCAAATGCGCGACCAAAAAGAGCCCAAAGCAAGAGCCCAAGAAACTGGGTGAGATGTCGGAGAACATTTCGGAGCTGCCCTCCCCAGTGAGCACGCTGAACACAGCCAGCCCTGCGCCGACGTCCATCAGCGCAGATCTCCAATGGTCAGAGATAACCACACCGGCATCACATTTCATGCCGCTTGACGGTTTGGCGCAGTTTGATCCCAACGAATGGATGACCAGCGCTCATTTCGACACCTCTGTAGGTTTCGACGGAGGCAGCACGGGCCAGAGTGCCGTCGCAACGCTGCCCACAACAGGGATAGAAACCGATCACATAGTTTCCAATAACCAACAGCCATTTATGGTGGATATGCCCGATTTTACAAATATGACGGACTGGCCGGCGCTGGACGATGAATCTACGAAGCAACTTTTGGCCATGATGGATAGTACCGCGGGCATGGACTTGAACGGCCTCGATGCAAGCACATTGCATCTAGCAGGAGGGAGCAATCCCAATCCATCCTTTGGACTGGATTTTGGTTTTATGAACCAACAGCCTCAACCTACCCAACAGAACACACCCGCGGCGACTAGCTCAAAGTGCAACTCCAAGAAGGAGGAGGGATGCGGGCCATGTTGTGGGTAGTCTTGATAGATTTCTTATATATACACTTACCATTTATATCTACATCAGCCAATTTTATTACAGTTCAGCCTCATCTTCAATTGCCATCAAAAGTACCGCCGATCCCCGCCTAGAATAGCGCATCTGCTTCATGTCATAGCACCTGTTGCCGGTGCATGCCGCATGCGGGGTAGTAACGCCGACCCCACCAAGCCGATCTTCAAAATATCTCGGCCAGGACGGACTTTTCAACTTCTCAAAAGCCCTCACCCCAACGCATCCTAGATCATACCCTCCCCATCGTCGAAAATGGCGGGCGCTCCCCTAAGGATCGGCTACGTGCCGGAGCACTTCTCCACGCCCCTCTACTTTGCCCAGAAGCACTACGGCCTCGACGCCGTGCTGACCCCGTTCCCCTCGGGCACCGGCGCCATGATCACGGCGCTCCGCGCCAAGGAGATTGACGTCGGCATTGGGCTGACCGAGGGCTGGATCGCCGGCCTCGGCAAGGAAGATCTACAAGGCGACGGCGGCTACCGCCTGGTCGGCACCTACGTCCCCCCCTCCAACCCTCCTTCGTTCATAAGCTAACCACCCCAATCGCAAAAAGGCTGGGCCATCTCTACCGGTGCGCGGCGCCCGGAAATCACCTCCGTCGACTCCCTCAAGGGCGGCAAGATTGGCGTCTCCCGCATCGGCTCCGGCAGCTACGTCATGGGCTTCGTCCTCGCCGACCAGCACGGGTGGCTGACCCCGCCATCCTCCTCCTCCCACCCTCAGCAAACGTCGCCGTTCTCCGACACCGTGGTCCTCAATACCTTTGCCCACCTCCGCGACGCCGTCAACTCCGGCGCCGCCGACTTCTTCCTCTGGGAGCACTTCACGCAGAAGCGCTACTTTGACGCCGGCGAGATCCGCCGCGTCGGCGAGATCTACACGCCGTGGAGCAGCTGGAAGGTCGTCGCGTCGACGGACCTGCCGGCGGGCGATGCGCGGCTGGCGGCGCTGTTCGAGAAGCTGGACGCGGGCGTGGCGCACTTCAACGACAACGCGGAGGAGGCGGTGCGGTACATCTGTACGAGCTTGGACTACACGGAGGCGGACGCGCGCGAGTGGCTCAAGACGGTGAGGTTCCCGGCGCGCACGAGGGGCGTCAAGGCGGAGACGGTGGAGGGCTGCGTGGCGGTGCTGCAGAAGGCGGGCGTGCTGGTGCCGGGCAAGGGCTTGCAGCCGGGAGACATGGTGATCTGAATCCAAAGTAGAAATGTACAACAGTTCAAGTAAGAGAATTACAATTCTTGGGACAATAGTTCAAGTTGGAGAAATTACGATTGTTGGGACAGGGTCGCAGTATTGACATATTGACATTTCATTCGTAGAATATATACTGTATGCAGAAGAGCTCCGCTGATGATGACAAGAGGCGGTGGACAGCACCCTGCAATTCTAGGTACTTGTAGGTCTATCAAAAGCTCCATTTTCTTCCCTTGAAAGGGGTTTCGGGTTAGGCAGTAGCGTAGCTTCGCCCAGTAAAGCCCGTCATCTAAGCAGCGTTGACGCACTTGCCAGGACCAAAGGCGGCCTGGCCATCCTGGAGCGGCTTGGTGATCTTGTCGCCCTGGGTCTGCACGACGCTCTGGACGGCCGTGGGAGACTTGGCCTTGATGGCAGCGATGAGCGCCTTGGCATCGGTGAGACCGGTGTTCAGGAAGTCGAGGACGGTGCCACACTCCTTGGCGGTCTGCACATCGTTGAGACGGCTCTTGAGCTCGTCGACAAGCGACTGGCCCTGCTTGGCGAGGTCGTTGGAGGGACCGACGAGCGAGAGGCACTCGTTGACGGTCAGGGGCGTCATGTTCTGGACGGCAATGGTGCCAGACTCGACCTTGGAGATGACGGCGGCGGCCTCGGCCTTGAGAGGGCCGGGGTCGCCGTTGAAGGCGGCAGCGGCGGCCTGGAGGTTGTTGAAGCCCGTCTTGACATCAGCAAGCACGGAGGTGACAGTGGCAAGGTCACGCTCGACGAGCGTGGGGGGAGAGCGCTCGACGGGGGTGGCAACGAAGGCGTGGGCACCAACGGCGAGGGTAGCGGCAACAATGCTGAACTTCATGATGGCGGTAATGAAGAAGAGAAGAATGGAAGGAGATAGATTGAGAAGAGTAGAAGAGGAAGAAGATAAGTGGATTGGATTGTGGATGGATCCTGAACTGAAGTCGAGGGACAATCGCAAGCTTATATAGCCACGTCTCACAAGGAAGTTTTTGTCGAATGCACGAGCGATGAGCCGCAGCCGAGGTGTCTTGACAGGATGTAACCTTCCTATTCAAAAATCAAACCATAACCCCCTTGAAATCATGTTTGGCGCGTAATAAATTACGCTCCCCGTGGGAACTGCCCCAGCCTGTGGCCTGTTCACAAGTGAGGCCAGTAGTCCAAGCGACCCGAGGCTCTCCACATCGCGACGCTGAACTTAGATCCCCGCCGAGTCTGGGCATCCATCGACTAGCCTCAAATCGATTTCCCCGCACTCTGCTAGTGGGTTTCTTATCCTTTGACGGTGGGTTTGGCGAAGGCCGCGAGCCTTTCGGCAGTTGCGGACACGTTGTCCGTTGACAGGCACAATGCGGGGTGGACGTGGCTGCCTCTCGCCGCTTTTCTAAAAGCCGTTGTTATAACCTAGCACCCGTACGATGTTAGTGAGTTTCTAATCCTGGCAGCGATAGTCCTGAACCAAGTCAATGCTGGCTTCAAGTGCTTCTTTTGCAAGACAAGATGCGACCCTCTCTGCAAATGAATGTCTTGCAGGAGATGAGGGCAAAAAACCCCGAAATGGGGTGTCATCACTCACGGTTCCCACATACAGCCGTATGTATTAGCTGCAGGCCAGCCACTCCTGACGGACTTAGTCCAGGCAGTAGCCCAGTTAGCAACACATTCCAATACATGAAAAATCAGAAGCTACCGAGGTGCTTGCTCATTCAAATGTATAGTGTGCGGTCCATAGACTATAGTTAGTTGCTGACGACCAAGCGCCTCCGCACGGCGCCACGCCAAGTAGCCCGATTCCTAAACGTAGCTGACGATCCAATTGCTGGGGTTGCGATGGATAGTTTAACTGACGCATCAGGTAAAAACAACGCAGATCCTTTCAGTCTGACCATTAATCATGGCGCTCTGAGCTTAAATAACAACCCGCACGGCCAACCTGGGTTGGGTTTCTGTAGCTTTGCGCCACTTCCGCTGGAGAGATTCTCCTCCGTCAGAGTCCGTACGTCGGCGCCGCGTTGCTCCGGTAGCATCATGAATTATGCCCTCGTCAGGCAATATAGCGGATACATGGATGGAGTACATCCACTTTGCTCCTCAGCACGAAGGCTCTTCGTGGGGTGACTTTGTGAAAGGTTCTGATCATGGCTCTTTCGCACAATCACCTGAAGAGCAAGGTTGTTTTCTTTGACAGAGCGGCGAGCTGCCTACGGAGTACATCAACAATCTTTTCCTTTTGAAGAGGGCTTTACACATAGTGTAAAAAATGAGTGGAGTAGCACCATCTGAGCCCTCTATTGGTACCGAGGGATAATGAGTGAGAACAAGTTCAGTGATGGCGTTTTTGTTGTCTTTGTTCCAAGCACGGATTGCTCTTCGACGTGGGTTTCATCTTAGAAGCCATTCAGTAGTAAGACTCGCGTAGTATAGAGCTCATTATGCTGTGAAGCCATCGCAAGGGCATTTGCTTTGACCGTTGGCGCTCCTGTCTGTAGAGAAAGGTCCACAACATCTGCCATCAAAGCCGTCCCATAATTCGCCCTCATACAACTGCCAGAGTAGTCCATGGGTGCTCTGGTTCGCACCTCGAGATTCACGATAACAGGCCTAGAGGCCATTCAGCACCTCCGCAGACGCTGGCATGCTTCCCTCGGGATGTGGCAGTTGAAGGTGCAGCTCAGGGTCCAGATCTGGCATCGCAGGACAGATCTGAAGCGCTCAAAGTAGTACCGTAACAGGCGTAATCTTGCCTAAGAGGGTTGCAATGTACAACGTGCCTTGCTGATCAACGATTTCAGCATGCTAGCCAGCCTCGTTGCCTCGCACTCACGCACTGACCAAGTTAGGGAAGCTTTCTCCAAGAGCATGGGACGGCACCTTCACTAATCCGATATGCGATAGCACCGTGATGTTGAGACAGGGGAGAAGAGAGATCGCTTGTCTGTTCGCAGCTTTCGGAGAGGTCAACCCCTGTTCAGATCCCATCGTAACTCCAGGCCATGGACAACTTTGTACTATTCGTACACTTGTTGAAATGCCTCTCCAAGTCATTCGATGACATCATGCCAACTTGCGGAGAGTTGTCCACATGTCGGTATCATGATCGGTCTTCGGGCAACACCTCAAACGGCGACTTCTCAAAGGTCATGGCGGCAGCTGCTCGAGCAGAAATGGATCACCAGTATCCGCGCCAGATCGGCGGATAGTGGCGCCTATGGGATAACAGTCCATATTCGGACGCATTGAGGTGCTGAGATGCAGAAATAAACATGATTAAAAACGGCGACATCTCGCGTGCACCGTGGTGGAGGAGATTGACGATGAATCATTGACGTGAGGAGGGCGCAAGCCACTCCCGCTGGAAGATGCCTATCTCTCAGCCACAATCAGCCACCGGTGATAGCGACGCGAAACCCTGCGTTTCAATTGCTTTCAGGGGCAAAAAGTACCATTTCCAGGGCAGCTACAGCGCTATCCCTGCCAAACGGTGCCAGACTGCTCCAAAAGGAGGCCCAGCACAAGTACCTGGGTACTTCCTAACCCAACGAATTAGCGCATCGTATTTTTCCCTCCAACAAGGGATCGTCGCAATCACCACCTGTTCAGAGTTATCTCTCAACAACGGCCGCTTCCTGATCCCTGCCCAACTTCCCGCTCGCAGCATCGCGGGCTACCTGTCACTCGTTTCCTGCGTCCCGACCGGACCATCCTTTGCCTCCTCGACTCACCTCCCCTTGGCCGAATGCCTCCCCATTTTCGACCTTCACGCGCTCCGTTGACTGGTTCAACGGCGTCCCTCCGACGCAGCCGCTAAGCAAGCCGCTCCTGTGGTCCGACAACCAGGCACGCGACGCCCGCGTGCTTCCGTTACACAGGCGTCATGGTCTCCGCGACGGCGATGCACGCCTCCGGAACTGCGCCAGACATTGTTGTCGCCCGATTCTCGGACGATGTGATGGAGCTGGAGGAGCCTGCGGCAGCTAATACCGCTCCCGCACCCGCTACTACCGCATCGCCGCGACCGATCTCCAAAAAGAGCCTGCTTTCTAACATTGGGCTCGGGGGCTATGCGAGACGAACGCTAGGCATCTGCCTCCTCATTGTTGTCGTCTTCCTCTGGACACTGTCCAACTTCCTAGCGAGCGTGGGTGGTCTGGATGCTTCGGTCTAGACAGCATTTACTAACTAGACAATACAGTTCATCTTCTCCGACCATACCTACGACAAACCCTTCTTCGTCGTCTATATCAACACTTCCCTCTTTGCCATATCCCTGATACCCATGTTCGTACGCTACATGGTGCGGGCCGGAATTAACGGCCTGCGAACCGACCTCGTTCATCTGTGGCGCCAGCGCAACAGCCACGGCGCACTATTCCAAAGAATAAAAGACGAGGAGGAAGATGCAGTCGACGGTGAGCGCCTGCTGTCTAGCCAAGACCAAGACGCTGGTGTCCCGGAGCCGGTCTCCCGAGACACAACGTCGGCGGCGGCGGCGGGAGTGCCGGAAAAGATGACCTTTGGTGAAACCGCTTACCTCAGCCTCGAGTTCTGCATGCTCTGGTTCTTGGCCAATTATTTTGCCTCGGCGTGTCTGGAGTACACAAGCGTGGCCAGTGTCACGATCCTCACGTCAACATCGAGCATTTGGACGCTCGTATTCTGTGCGCTCTTCAAGGTGGAGTCATTTTCGCTACGCAAGCTCTTTGGTGTCTTGGCGTCGCTCATTGGCATTGTCCTTATTTCGACCGTGGACCTCACGGGCAACAGTGACGAACACCGAGGTTCTTTTCCGCACAAGACTACGGGCCAAATCGCGATTGGCGACTCAATGGCTTTGATCAGCGCTGTTGTATACGGCATGTATGTGACGGTGATGAAGAGGAGAGTGGGGGACGAAGACAAGGTCGATATGAGATTATTCTTTGGCCTGGTTGGCGTTTTCAACCTGTTGTTCTTGTGGCCTCTCTTCTTTGTGCTTCATTGGACTGGTATCGAGCCCGTGAGTTATCCGCCATGTCGTCTCAGATGAGCACCGCTGACAATGTCCAGTTCCAATTACCACCTACTGGCACGGTTTGGGCCATCATCATCGTATGCCTACCACGTCAACCTAATTCGGCCTCGCTAACCTGGTTATAGGCCAACTCTCTGTCGTCTTTTATTAGCGACATTTTCTGGGCATTCGCCATGCTCCTTACGACCCCTCTGGTTGTTACCGTAGGCTTATCGCTGACTATTCCTCTCTCGCTTATCGGCGAGATGATTCAATACGGCCAATACTCTAGCTTTGTGTATTGGATCGGCGCGGCTGTCGTATTCCTATCGTTTGTCTTCGTCAGCAACGAGAGCCAGGCCGAGGAAGTGGAGGAACAAGAAATGAGATGATCCAACCGTACGGAATTGCATAATGGAGTGTATTTTTACTTGGTCGAATGGGCATTGACGGCGTTTACTTGGACATAGTAGGGCTTGCATGGTTCTTCTATCTAAGCAAGCCACCCCGAGCGCTTGAATGGGAGAGCAGACGCCTCAAGGCACTAAATGTGCCGTACATATACTTGCACAAATGGACAAATTTAATCATTGCTTCTTTATCAGCACAAGCGTAGCGGCCCTAAAACCTCTCTTAACCTCCTATTCCGACTTTTGTTGGGGGCTGCTTTGCCGCTACGGAAAAAAGAAGTCATCGGTTGATGCGTATGCAACCCTATACGTGCTTGTCTATTGCTCTATCTGTTTTATGTATGCAAGATCAAGAATGAATGCAAGGTCTAAGATTTAATGCTCGCTTGGGCTTTTTATGCTACACTTTCGATGAATTTTCCGCTTCCTTTTCCATTTCCATCCTCCACTTACCGGCATATCGGTACTGCACAAGCGGTCCGATCAACGCCACGAGCTGCACGGCCACGCAGACGGTGAAGGTCCATCCCACGCCGAGGCCAGAAATCATCGGCATGATGAAGCTCGTGCCGCCAGCGGCGAACAGGCACCGCGCGAGGTTGAGGCTGGCGGTCGCCGCAGCACTGCGGTCGGGGAATACGTCGACGAGGTAGGTGGTGATGATGGACTGCGTGGAGATGGCGGTCCAGCCGGTGACAAAGGTCGACATAATGGGTATCGCGATGGGCACGCTGCGCGGATACTGGACGGTCCAGCCGAAGAGGAGGAGGGACAGGCACTGCAAGATCGAGAAGACGGGGATGAGCCGCAGGCGTGCCATTTCTATGGGGAAGCTGGCTTCGTCGCCGTCGGTGCCGCCCCACGCAGCCGCCAGCCTGGTCTTGAAGCGGCGATAATCAGCATCGAGGATCCGGCCGGTGACGAGAGTGCCGACGACGCAGCCCACGCCGTTGGCGATAAAGGTGAGGCCGATCTGCATCTCGCTCAGCCCGTAGCGCTCCTTGAACAGCGACGACATGGCCGTTATGCTCATCTGCCAGACGGTGTAGTAAACAGCCAGGAACACGATGATCGGCGTCGCGCACCGGCTGCCGAGTATGCGCAGCGGGCCTAGCACGTCGATGCGCCTCGGCGGCGGGAGCGCCGCTGGCGGTGCGCTCCGGTCCCAGCGCACCCTCGTTGTCCTCTGATACACCCCCAGCGGGTACCGCGCCAGCCAGTTGCCTTCCAGGACGACGCTGCCATTGCCGACCAGCGAGCGCAGCGTCTCCGGCAGGGCCGCGGCGAGCGCCAGCAGGAAAGCGCCGCTGTACGCGGCCAGGAACCAGAAGACGGCGCGCCAGCCAAGCGCGCCCGCGATCGCGCCGCCGACCACAGGCCCAACGGCGACGGGCGTCAGCAGGCCGGCCTGGAATACGCCCATGAAGCCGCCGCGCTCCGCGCGCGTGGTCACGTCGCCGACGACGCCCGCGCCGACCGCGATGGTGCTCGCGCTGCCGGCGCTCTGCAGGCACCGGAGCGCGACCAGCGTCGCGTAGTTCCGGGTGAGCCCAAGGCCGACGCAGGCGCCGAGGAATACGAGGAAGGTGCCGAGGTAGGCGACGCGACGACCGCGCACGTCGGACACGGGACCCCAGAGGCTGGGTGCCAGGCCTTGCAGCACGAGGTACGAGGTCACGGTGAGCGTGGCGAGCTCCATCGACACGTCGAGGTCGGCGGCGACGGCTGGCAGCGCGGGAAAGTAGATGTTGGACGCGAGGGGAGGGAGCACTTGGGGGAGGGAGCACTTGGGGGAGGGAGACGTACAGGTTGCGGCGACGGAAACGAGAAAGACGATGAACCACTTTTGCCTCTTGTCGAATATTGTGAATGGCTCTTCGGTAGCGGCAGGCAATGGGGGTGCAGCTTCGAGAGCATTGCCATCGCGCTCATGTTCGGAAGACGGCATGCTGGAGAGTTGATCCGTGTAAGCCTAAGAACATAGCAATGCAGCTCCAGGGAATTAATGATTTGGGGTTGACTGAGCCTCAGTATAGGTTGAATAATTGGTCGAAAAAATTGATTGAATGACTTTGTTGACTGATTAAAGCAGAAGAGGACAACCTGTTGTTTTTATAATGAGAAACCAAATGTTAAAAGTGACGTTGTAGACTTATAAAGTTGCTTTTAGGTCAAGTCGGATCCGATCTTGTCAGGTCCGGTGCCGGCGCCGTCTCAACTCCGCTCAACTCCGGCAGCGAACCAAAAGGTGGCGTTACGGCAAAACACAACACGAATCTCTCATTCCAGAAAATGAACGTCATAATTATGTCCCAATAAAATTATGTCCCGCCGTTAAGCCCGCTGTGTGATGGATGTTAAGGCTGCAGCCAAATCACTGTGTAGGAAAAAGGCTTGGCCCAGCTGACCTACAACTTTCATGAAGCCTCTCCGTTGAAAATGGATTTTCAGACAGGGTTTCACGCTTTCAATGTATCGTTCGCAAGCAACTCGCCACGCCTCAAGCATGATTCATTAGTCACTCAATTATACAATTATTATGCACCGTGTGTACAATCAGTAACGGCGAACAGCATGGTGCCAAACTCGTCCAAAGCTTGCAGCCACCGGTCAACTCGCGATCGCCGTCGCGCCGCGCTTACGTGGTCCATTTCCAGCGGCGTCGGCCAGAGTTCGTCTATGGTCAGGTGCGGCTCCGACCACTCGGCCAGAAAGATGTTATACTCCTGCTCCCACGCAGCGCGCGTAGGCGCCTGCCAGAGCGTCTTGCTGGAAGGCGCAGGCAAGCCGCGCAGCTCCGTGCCAAGATACGTGGGTAAGTTCTCCTGTCCGGAGAGGACGCTATCGAGAAGGTACATTACGTATAGCGATCGCCGCTTCGCCTCGGCGACAATCCATTCTTCCCATCGCGGTCGCGCATGCGCGGCATCGGTGGCGCAGACGAGGCCCGTTTGGGCCGCAACGCAAGCCAAGCCTTGCAGCGTTGTCATCGCATTGCGGAAGAAGGGGCGGGACCCCTGGTTCAGGCGGAAGAACAAGACCAGAACATATATCAGGTAAGCCTGGAAGGCGTCGAGCGCAGTCGCCGCGTCGTCGAAGCCGCCGCCCTCGTCCTGGCCCTGCGCTGCGATGGCGTCCATCTCGCGCTGGAGGATGAGCGCGGCGTTTCCAACGCTCCCAGGGAGCAGCGGATCGTCGCTGACGCGCACGAGGCTCAGGCAGGTCGCGAGCGGTGCGCCGGGCGCGTGCATCTGCGCCGGGTGGATGAAGGGCGGCGCGGAACGGCCGTGAGCTGCCACGGCGGCGTACGATCCAAGCATGCGCGAGATGAAGCGGGTGATCATGGGCGGGTACGCTTTCACGACCTGGTCCGGCTGCTCGAGATATGGGTTCAGCCATCGGTTCCGGATCCTTTCGGCGTCGATCGGGCAAACGAGGCGGAGGCTCGTAAAGTCAAGGCTGCGGTGCGTGTCGGCCTCATCTTCGACGGGTTGGGACGCTTTGGCTTGTCCCGCGCTTGTATCGGCTGAAAAGTCCGAAGGGGGACTCGGGATCGATGCGCCAGAGCTCAAGTCGGATGACTGGGATGTCACTTGGGGGTAGGCACAGGCGAGGCCGCGCTGGACGCAGCGCGCACACCGGGCACGTTCGCGATCGCAGCGAGCCTTAGCATCGGAACACTGCTGGCAGGATTTTTGACGGGTATTGGAATAGCGAGAAGTTTTCATGATGGGTCGTCATTTTGGTGGCGATCGTTGATGAGTCGCTGTTGACGTGAGGTTGCACGTGGGAGGAACTCCGAGGGCAGGTGAGGGTGAGCTGTCGAGTTAGTGGAGGTTAGATGAATGCACTGTACCTATGTATGTATGTATGTACATACATACATAAAAGACTGCAGCCACAATAAGACAGCCAAAAAGGGGTTTAATCAGACACGGGAAGGAAGGGTAGTTACCCGAATCCAGTAATAGTTATCCCAACAAACTACTTTTCTTTGCGTATCTCTTGGGAGGGATGGTGTGCTAATACCGTTCTCGGTCGCCGAGTTTTCTCTTCCAGGTACCTGGCAGACCCGAGAATGCAGGGCGGCCACCACAGCCAAAATGGCGTCACAGCCCTGGGCCACACACAGCCTGTGGTAGTCAGGCTGCACCAGCACCACCATATCTACAGTACATAGGTATGTATGTATATCAAGTGCCCGGACCAGGCAACAAAAAAAGTACTTGGCCGACTTCCGACGTTAATTCAAAACGTGATACGACATAGCTCTAATAATAAAGAAGGGCTTCAATTCTTAATCTTTTGTGACGCTTTCGGTGCTGGCGGCTTTTGCCTCGGACATTGTCACTGTCAAGTCAATGTGGGACAAGGCAAGTCCGATTGGCCACCACGAGCTCGATCTTTACATTCACAGAGGGAAGCCTCTCCTTTCTTGCTCTCTTGTAGGACGTTTAGCTCCAAAGTTTGCTGCTGGTGGATTAGAAAATACCCGCTCAGAGATGGGATTTCACAATGCCCTTTTGCTTTTGCCCCTTTCTGGCGGTGCGGTTAGAGTTGGTCGTCCGTCTCCCCTACCCGTACCGAAGTTCCGCGTACTGACAGAGCCACCGGCATCCATCACCATCACCGCCTTGTTCTCACCATGCGCAATCCTTTCCCTCAATATGCCCATCCCTGCTGAAAATTGATGCAGCAGGGTGCCGACATCACACACTTGACTCCCTCCGTGACCAGTCGCCAAGCAAGCTGTCCTCCCGCCACCATTCAGCGTGGCTGCAACTATCCATGTGACGACGCCTCTATCCACCGCATTGCTCTCAACATTTCGACATCGCACGGCAACAGACCTACAAGATACCGACATCGTCATAAGGAGTACCCTGAAAGGGCCGCCAAGCCTGTGAAACCGTTGCACTGCAGCTGACACCGGGTCGCGCGAGCCCTTGCAGCACGCCACACAGAGGCTCAAGTTACTTCTGCAGGCTACATACATAGTAGAGCAACGTCGTCGACAATGCCATATGGCAGGAGCGTTCCCTACTTTCCTTCGTACTCGGCCTGCACAATATTCCTGCATTCCTCACGCGACATTTAACCGCCCGTTTCACGGATACTCATTTCGCTCCTCTTCATCACCTGCAGCACCTGATAAATACCCTCTCGGCCCATTCTCCAGTCGTCCTCGCCGGATTTCTTCCCTACCAAACCTCTACACATTATCCCTCGACAGTCTTATTCGAGCCCTTGTATTCTACAAACAATGCCCGTCTCCGACAGAACGTCATCTGACCAGGCCATGTCCCTCGGCGATCGCATCAACGCAGAGACCCGAGGCATCCACGCCGACACTAACAAAGTCATCCTCTCTCAACTGCCTAAGCTCCTGCCGCCTCATGCCGCCGACCCTTCCATCTACGCTTCAGGGCTCCTGCATATTGCACCAATATACCTGACCTTCGAAGGTCTCTGGCATCGCTTTCTCACCCCTGATCTAAAAGAGGATATCGATCTCGAGCCGCTGCGGCCCGCATCCGGGACAGTCCCGGTAGAGAACTCACCCTTGCCTAGCCGCGTGCACTCCAGCCTCCATGCCCTGCTTGTGCCAGGTCTCGCTCGAGGAGGCCGCCTCAAGGCTGATATTCAAGCGTTGACTGGCTGGTCGGATCTTGTCCTCGAGACGCAGCTCGAACTCGTCTCCGGACAGCCGGCACTTGCCGCCATTATTGAACGCATGACAGCGTCCATCCAGAAGCAACCGCTGCTTATTGTCACGTATACGTACATCCTGTACATGGCTCTCTTCGCCGGGGGCCGGATCATCTGCAAAAAGCTGAAATTGGCAGGCGACGACTTCTGGCAGACTCCTCTAGCCCCTATCAAACCCACCATGCAGCTCTGCATACCGGTGCCCTCACAAGACGAGCTGCCGTTGAGCTTCTTCCGCTTCGACAACCCAAATAATGGCGAGGACTTGAAGGTCGAGTACAAGCGCATCCTGAAAATGATTGAATCAGCTATTGACTCAGATGAGGCGGACGCCATTGTCGGGGAGGCGACTAATGTCTTCAGGCACATACTCTCTATCGAGGAACTGCTTGAAGCCGTTTTCAAGGATGACCCTAGCGATGGTGCCGCGACAATGCCCGGAGAGTACTTGCAGCCGGCGTCACTCCTCAGTCGTGTGCGTAACAGCGTGGCCGTGGCCAAGGAGAGATACGGAAAGAGCTCACCGGGAACATCTTCGAGTGAAGCCGACAGCGCCGGAACCGTCATTCGACGACGCAACTATCGCTCCAGCGCCTCATCCGACTCGCATTCGACCGACAGCGCCGCGTCTGAGCACCCACCGATGCCTGCTGTTACTGGTGTCGAGCTGTGCCCTGCCGCGGTCGTTAGATCCGTCCGCTTCAACTCGGCCTTGTCACTCCCGCAGCAACAGGAGCAGACGGCGTGGGCAGGCCGGCGAGAGCAGATCAAGACTGCAGACCTGACCAGCTGCGTGCTTGCCGCCCTGCTCGGCATAGTGGCCATGGGTGTCATCCTTGTCTCGAGACGAGGTGCCGCGGCGTGATGGGAGTCAGTATTGAGCGCGCGTGAGATGCTGCTTTTAACTTGACTTGGCTTGCATGAGGTGAATAGAACTGTATTCAGCAATCATATGCGGAAGGGCATACAGAAAGCATACAGAAGAGCATACGGAAGTGCATATCGCGGCGGCGTTGGGGTTTTTTTTGGTCTTTTCTAGAATTAATACACGAGTAACGTTTAGACCAGCAAGACTGCACTTTTGCCTTCGCGAAACACCAAGACGAACTTTTGTAGTAGAATGATTTTTTTAAAAGCTTTCTCTATGCAATGGAGGAATGTTTTGACTTTGTTAACCCCCCCCCCCCCACTTTCTAACCAAGATCCTTTCCAAAAACGCCAAATATGCAATTCGCTTCGGAGTCCATGCTTTCAATGCTGTGAATGTTGCCGCTTGAACTAACCAAAAGGAACAAGAAATTCCAACATACCCACCAATACTCATGCTGCTGCTATGTTATATGCGTATATACAGACATCATCAATTCATTAAAAGGAGTTTGTACCTGCGTCCTGCTGGGACGCAAAGGACCAGGCACCTTCACATTACTCCTCGTCAACATCCCAGTCGGCCGCCACATTGGCCCAGCCCGCCATGTGCCGCTCGCCGCCAAACTCGCCCACGGTGCGGAGATGGCGAGCGGCGGCGGCGTCCTGCTGCCATTGGCGCACCACACAGTCGTCTGATGCGGTGACCAGCTTCCCGTCGTAGGACCAGCTCATGGTGGTGACCTCTCGCGAGTGGCCGCGGATGAGCGGCGTGCCGGCCTGGTAGATGGGCAGGCCTTGCGGCACGGAGCCGAACGGCGTCGAGGCGGAGAAGGACGATGAGAAGGAACCGTGGCCAGCAGCCCCCTCAGGGAGAATATGCGAGGTGGCGGCTGAAGTGGCGCGCAGGTAGCGCTCGTCGGTTGGGAACAGGACGGCGCAAAAGTCGGAGCTGCCAACAGCGAGGACCTCGGATCCACCAGCGGTGCGGACGGGACGCATGGCGCACTTGACGTAGAACGAGTGGGCGTGGAACATTTCGTGCCTCAAGCCGTACAAGGGGCCGAGACCTTGGGCACCGTTGGGCTTCCGCTTCACCGCGTTGTCTTCGAGAGCGGGCGCGTGGCCAAGGATGAGATGCGCTGTAGAGTACGCATACACGGTGCTATCTTTGCAGACGGCGTAGAGGCGGGCCGCGTCAGCGCTCAGCGCCATGGATGTGGTGCCGTACGTGCGCCATGTGTGGCTAGGCGGCAACTGTGTCATGGCGAGCGGCGTCTCCGTAAGTTGTCGCCGAGGCTTGATATAGCGAGTATCCCATAGCTTGATGGTTGCATCAGCCTCGGAAGAAGACAGAAGTAGATGCTCGCGGCCGGCAGGAAGCCACTGGATAGTTGTGACGGACGCAGAGCTTGTGGAGCCATTGACCGTGCGCTCATGGCAGTTGTCAATTGTGTTGACAGTCTTGGCTGAGATGGGTTCGAGCTGCGTATCCCGGTGCGCAAGCTTTTTGCCATGACTGATGGTAGAGAAGCAATTGACTGGCATGGGTGAGCAGCGTAGATCCCACACTTGAATGCGCCCGGCCCGATCAGAGCTCGCCAATGTGGTGCCATTCGCTTGACCCTTCTGAAAGCTGATTTGGCGAAGAGAGTCGCAGTGCCCCCCACTGAGTTCGGCCGCTACTGTTTGCGTGGCGACGTCTAGGATCTTTCCAGACCGATCGCCACAGGCAGAAGCAAGACGGAGGTCGTCGTCTGAAAAGTCAACGGCCATGATGGCATTATCATGAACCTTTATGCTGGTATCGACCTTGGAGGCATGGGAGTCGCCGCCGTCGGAAGTGTTGAAGAAACGCACATACCCTTGCTCGTCACCGATGACTGTCACAGGTGCTTTGTGGCAACTGGTCAACGAGAAAGGAATCGTGTTACCAGAACCTGTGTATGCTGTGCATTGGTGAACATCGGTGCTCCTGCTGTAGTATCCGGCTGTCTCGGCGCGAGGATCTGAGGCTGGTGTGGCAAGCATCTGTTGGCCGGTATGCGAAGAAAAGCCATGTGTTCGGTTAAGAAGTTGTGACTCGAACCCACGGTTGCGAAATTTACGGATTGGCTGTGGTTTGTAACCTTCGAGAATCTGGCAATCGTTAGGAGCAGCCACGTTCGGAAAAAGCGGGAGGCTTACAACATGGCCTTGAGTATCGGCAGATATAACATCGGGTGTCGAGGGGACAGACTTCTCTTCTATACTGCGTAACCTGCCGCGACTAGCCTTGAAGAACAGATTCTGTTGCGAGTTAGCCAATGCCACTTTGGTAGGATCATCAACTTATCGTACAAGAGTGGCCTTGCGCTTATCACCCAAGCCATCGCCATCATTGGCGGACAGCTTCATTGAACCCTCTTCTGTAATATCATTTGCAGTGGCTGCAGGTAATTGTAGCTGTGGCGGCGACAAATTGTCCACAGAAAAGCCACGTCTTCTCTTGAGAGCTTGCAGGGAGCCTTCGGGACAATGTCTTTTGCCACTTTCACCGCGAACAGTTCTTTCTGTCGGGGAGGAGCAGATTGGGTCTGACATCAAGACATCCCTAGCTAGTGATTCTGGTGATATCGGGCGGCGGTTAATTTCGGAGCTGCTGTGGGGTTCAAGAGGCAGACGCAGAACGATGCCGTCGGGGAGGGCCGATCGGGGAGTGAAGAACCTGCCGAATCGTCTTGGCGTAACGGAAGGGTTTCGACGTTCTTTTCCACGTCTTGTGCGGGAGGGCGAGAGGTAAGGGGGAAGTGGTGATGAGTCCATGCTCGAGGCCGGGGCTATCGCTAAAGTTGGCGGGCTTGACGGAATGGTTGAGGTAGAGGGCCCATGATGAAAATGCATCGTTGGCTGATGGTGGAAATGAGGCACGTGGATGAATGACGAGACGCGATGAGGAAGTAAACAGTTAAGATGTACAAGGGAGAAGAATCATAACAGGATGCTCAACAAGGAGAAAAAGGATGGAAGTCAATGGTCACCGAGTGCTGGGCTTAATATTGCCTCTTGGATAATTGAGGCTGGGAGCAAGGTAACGTGGGGAAAACGCCAAATGTCGGTCATTAACACGGTTCCGCGTCTCGTCGCGTGGTGAGGGAGCTTCACAAGCTCTTACTGGCACGACAGGACGTGTGACAAGACGTGTGGCGCTGGCAAATAAAGTGAACGGGCCGGTACCGAAAAGTGGAACCCTCACCAATAATTGGGGTGTCGCGTGGCGCAGGACATCCCTCCTGTGGCGCAAGCTGAGGGCGGCAGATTGACTGTAATAATTGGTAGTAAAAGCCGTGTTTATAAAAGGGAGCTTCATGAGCCTTTGAAGGGGTAGTATGTAGAGCCAAACGTGAATCTCAACGTGTGCGGCGGTTATCCGGCGGGCCCTTGTATCTTACGCTACCAGGTCGACGCACGCACGAACGCGTTTGTGCTCTAGTGCAGGCGGCGGCGTTGCACTTGGAAGTCGCCGCGTTACACTTGGCAGTGGCGGCGAGTTTGAAAAAGAAGAATGCGAGAAGATAGATAAACAAGTAAATAAATAAATAAGTAAGTAAGTACGTAACCCATTTTTTTTTTCCTAAGTAAGGAGATTGAGAAGTCATTGATGGTATCAGCTCGATCAATGATGCCCAAACTGGTCTGCTACCGCAGCGACGTCCCACCGATGACAGCAGCGCGATGAAATTCCCAGGGCAGCAATATCAGTTCTGAAAGAAAGCTACTTCTTCTCAAATACGGAATAAGAAGGCATAAGCTCAATTTTTTTATAACCTCCTACGCACATGTCGTACAAACACTAGCCACAATTTCAACCGCATAATTCGTTACCGCCCATCATCTTGCAGTGCACTACAGGCATTGCAGCGTCTCGCGGCTCCCAGAGCCTCAAAACAGCAGACGCAGCCACACTCCACTGCCACACTTGGCGATCACCTGCAGCTCTCCGCCGAAATCTGTCTCCTCCAAAATACATTCTGAACCCTTGCAGCTAGTTCATTTATTTGCTCCGTGATACCTCTGCCCGCCCCCTGATTCGAATAATTATTTTTTTCATTCTTAAGCTCTGCCTGGACACCCTTAGCCTATGCGCCCCTAGCCCTCCAGGCCGATTTCGCTCGCTACCTCGACCACCCTCTTGCTGTGGCGCCGATGGTGTCATTTTTACAGAGTCATGCACAATTGCGCAACAGAACCACAGTGACTTTCTGATCTTGACTTTTCTGCGACCTTGCTCTCAACTTTCAACAAAACACTGGAGTATTTTCTCTTCTATTCCGCTTTGTATCTCCTCTCGCAAAGTTTCCAAGATGTGTCGCTTCCTGGTACGTATCTACACTGGACAACTGGACAACACTTGCGCCGAAAGCGCTTCCACTGACTGCTTGTACCGTATCAGGTATATAAAGGCAGCGACGAGATTCTGCTCTCCAAGCTCATCCTCGATCCCACGCACTCTATCCTTAAGCAGTCATTCGATTCACGGCTACGACTGGTACGAATTACGCCTCTGTTCCCCGCCGCCGCGCATTGGCTGACCCATTCCACAGGACACGCGACGAGGCCAGAACAACGCAGATGGATTCGGCATCGGCTTCTACACAGACCCCAAGCTGGGCTCCGCACCATGCCTATTCACATCAACGACTCCCGCATGGAACTGCGCCAACCTCCAGCGAATCGCTTCGAAGACTGCCTCGCGTTTGATTTTCGCCCACGTCCGCGCCACGACTGAGGGGTCGACGAACGAGGACAACTGCCATCCATTCACTCATGGCAGCCTAATGTGGATGCATAATGGCGGCCTTGGTGGCTGGAAGCACATAAAGCGCCGGCTCGGTGGCCAGCTCGCGGACAAATGGTACTTGGGTGTACAAGGCGGCACAGATAGCGAGTGGGCGTTTGCCCTGTTCCTCGATACGCTAGAACGCCTCGGCCATAACCCCAGTGCATGCCCGGTGACTGGCTTTGGACCGACAGTACTCCGCAAGGCTGTTGAACAGACCATTGCCAAGATCAACGAGCTCACCGACTCCATACCAAAAGAAGTACTAGAGAGCGAAGACGTTGACACGCGTAGTCTGCTCAACTTTGCCGTCACAGATGGCCACAGCACCATCTGCACCAGATACATTAGCAGCGCTCGTGACGAGGCTGCTAGCTTGTACTATTCTTCTGGAACCCGATGGGAGACAAGGACGGGCGCAGCGGATGACAGACAGTACCACATGGAACGCCAGGACAAAGGCGCTGATATTGTCCTGGTGGCGAGTGAGCCCTTAACTTTTGAGCGAGGTAAGTCCATGACGACATCTTTACGCTGAAGCCAATCACACACGATGACTGACTTGCGCCTAGAGAACTGGGTCAATGTGCCGACCAACAGCATCTTGACTATTCACAGGCAGACGGTCATGGTGCATCCCATTCTCGACAAGTACTACGAACGAGATCCTTACCATGTGCGCTCAAGCGCATTTGTCCATACGAAAGGCCTGGTATCCAACGAGAAGGCCCCGAGCGGCTCGCTTAGTCCCAGTGTCGACGGGCCGTCGTCCAGCATTTTCGAGAACATCAAAAGCATCGGTCAGCCGTCACTGTCAAGGAGCATCAGCCCCGACTTTGCGCGTCTTGCTTTGACATCCAACGCGAGCCGACCGCTCATGACGCCGTACCCAAGTAAGCAGCTAGGGAAACAGTCATCTTAGAGCGCGGTTCTGGGTCGTGCCTCCGCTACCGAAGAATACATATCGTGTTGGTTGAGCTATCCCGAGTTCGTCAAGTGGGGAGACTGGTTGATTGTTCGTAGCACAGACTCCAAACGCCATGAACTTGGGCACACCCTCCGCGTTGGTTTAGTGATTCTGGATCTGGATGAGGCTGGACTCTGGACCATCGTAGCGTTAACGTCAAGACGTTAGGACCTGGGGCATGTCCAATGTGTTGGTCTTGTGATTCTGGAATAGGCTAGGCTGGCTTCTGGACCATCACTGAGTCACCGCGAGGTGGCGTTGAAGAAATTGGTCAAGTGTCGATTTGTAGGTTTTCAATTTATATAAATAAAACAACCCAATGAGGTGACAGAAGCAAAGATCTCTTCAGGCCACATATCACATAGCAAAAGTTTTGTACAACCCTCAGCTGAGAGCAGCTAGCACTACGAATGCCGCTTCGTCAGGGTACCAAGCAGTTACTTTCCATTCCATGCAGACGCTATACTCCAATGGCACCAACAACCTCATATGAGCCACGCGCGACCAACACAAACTAAATTCGTGTCTGACGCTGCAATCTTAGCTTACCAATATATTATTGTTGTTATTTATGTATTTCTCGTCGCTCTTGTCGTTCTTGTCCAGACTCTAGCGTGGATGTACTGATTGTCGAGGCCACCTCCCTCTATTCGAGCGACTTACGGGCTGTAGAGAAACCTTCTGTTGGTCGCTCGCCGCTCGGCGTATGTCGGATCAAACCTTGTGTTGCTCGCATATCACTTGGGGAATAAACAAATATAAATACTGCTTCCCTTCCCACACTTGCCCGGTATCTCAGAGCAGCGATGCAGACTTCCCTCCTAAGGTAGCTCTCCGCCCTTCGGAGCACATTTATCATCACCGCCGCGCCTCGACTTCCTTTCGCAACATCCTGTTTAGCGAAGATCCCTTTCCACGAACAAAATGGCTCGCTGCAACGTCTGCTGCTTCTCGTTCACTTGCTACCACGGCTGCGGCCACTTCCTCCGGACCAGGCTTGACTATCGGAGAACATGTGTCGGCGAGGACTGCTCGCGCACGCACGAAGTCCTGATGACAACGTCGGCTCTCAGATGCACGGCGTGCCTCGACGCCCAGCTTGTCAAAATGAGCAGCGGCCTGGGGCACTACCTGAGCATCCAGGGGCATGACACGGACTCGACGCTTCGGTTGCTCAATGAGCACCGTGTCGAGTCAGAGGACGCCGATACGTGGGCGCGCGAATTGTTGGAGGCGATTGTTCTGAGCAAAGGGGTTTATAACCCGGATTCTTACCGCAACGACATAGCATTCTTTCTCGGGAACAGACCGGCCGCCGTGCAGCACTTTCGGGTGTCCAAGGGGTTCGCGGACGCGTACGAGGTGGCCGAGAGGTACCAGCCAAGACGCTCGCCGTAGATTGACTCTAGCATCGAAGACACGGCCGGCGGCGAAGTTATCCGGAAAACGGGTGCGCAGGGATGGTTCGCTGCCTTGGACCAACCACTACCGCGTCGCTTGAAGTCTTTAACGCGGGTCGTCTAGGGCTATTGAAAGGGGGGCTCGAAATCGGATCGTTTCTGCCAGGTGAGTTTGCCTATCTTTATCACCACTACGGTGACAACTTGAAACTGACCGCGAAGGGGTATTTGAAATGCAGGTTGGAGCCAAGGCGGGTGCTGCGGCAGGAGGCGAGGGAAACTTCGACGGCGAACCTCGGGGAACATCACGAGGCCAGCAGAAGTCGTTTTGCTCGCATACTTCTTGTTTTTCTTTTCCCCCTTTTACTGTTTTTATTAACGGCATGGTATATTATTGCATTCTGGGAAACTAGATGCAACGCGAAGAGAGGAAGCCGCGCAGAACGTTTGCGTTGATACCCGCACTGTCGTTTCCCGGCGGCTTTCCTTCTTCTTTTCAGGGTGTTTGCGTTCATATATGCACACGCGCTTCCCAGCGGTGTTTCTTGTTTTCAGGGGTTTATTTCATCGATCGCCACGGCCTATAACTTACCGTTAGCACACTTCACTTTACGAGGACAGTTCTTCAACTGTCAGGGTTATTTTCATCGTCAGGGTTGACTCTATTGGGGCAGGCATTTATGTCTGCAGAATCTTTTCTTATCTATCGGCGCAATCGATTCTATCAATTCAATCTTCTCTATCCCTGCAATCTTGTCTATCAGCGTAGTCCTGTGTATCATTGCAATCCTGTCTATCCTTGGCGAATCCAAGACAAAAGACGACGGATACGGAAACATCACTGTAGAAAGGGTTATGTAAATGTTAAAAATCGTGTCACGAATGAATACTACATTGAATTATCCGTCACGATTGCTCACGCAGTCACACCCTCTTCGTTACATGATCGCCACGAGATGGAGGAGGGGTGTAGCAACACTGGATGGACAAGGCACGGCCAAGACATGTTCAAAGGTCATAGGGCCGCACTCCGACGGGAGAGCGTCGCAGATTCCATTTCGGCTGCAACGCCAGCAGCAACTTGTTTGGTTTCCGGAAATGGTCGAGCAAAGGTCTGAACTAAGGAACCGTGATTGGCAACGTTGTGAGGTAGAGGTTCGGTATATCCGTGCCACGTACCAAAGTGTCATGAGGTGTGAAGATTATTCTTGGAGAAACTCAGAGGTATAGACTTGTAGAGGGACGTTGTTGGATGCTCTGGTAGCGTTGGTGCGGTTGAAGTGCCGTGGAATGTCACTCGGTTGGCCATTTGCGTCGCAATGCGCAAAAGGGTGGCGAGGCGGAGATGCAAAGAACCTGTCTTGCACGGTATCATCTGATTCGATTGTCAAATCATGTCTCAAACCAAAACGCACTATTTGAGAAGGCTTGGACAGGGCAGTGCTGCTGTATAAAATTCATGCTATATACCTGGGGGCGTGGTACCTGATTGTAGGGCCAAGGCGCGTGTTTGTATCTGTAACAAGGGGGCCAAGAGCGCAGCCTGGCGCCGTGGCTCTTGCGCCTCTTTGGGGCAGATTTTGCATCTCTTCATCCAGGGTGAATATTCGGAAATCCAAGTCTCGATATATTATTTAGTCTTGGTATCAGTACAGTCGCTGAACCAGACCCTGACTGACTCGCGATATCTATTGCCGATGTGCGTAGTGGTTGCCCGAAGACCCGAGGGGGGGGGCAAATCTAGAGAGCGGGAACCTACCCGGAACCCGAGCAAAGCGGGATAATCACGCTCCCATCTTTTAAAAGAGGATTGTCACCAAGTATCGCAACACAAGAGACGAAAATAAATGTTGAGATAGGCCAAACCCGGGACATTTGTTTCCACATGACTGTAGAGATGCAGAGATACAGAAGGAACTTTTGGTTGTTGGCGTCGTGCATTGGTTGGGTCACTACTCCTTAACAGGCACTCTCGAATCGGGGCAAAAAGGGACTCGGGCTTCTGGAAGCTCCCAGTGCTCCGGGGGCCCGGACACCGACCGAGACAGGGCCTTGGGGGGGGGGGGGGATTCTCCTTGATATGGGTATTTCTGTCCGAATCGCCGCGTGGCGGTGGTCGGGGAAATGCGAGGGGGCGGGGGAGGTTCAGCAGAGCAGCACAGTTATTCGAGGGTTGGTGGGGGACGAGCCGGAGCTTGACATCTCCAACAACCGAATACGGACAACTTCGCAAAGTTGATAACTGACGGAAGTGCAGCCGTGGTACCTGAAAGATAGCCAGAGAAGGCAAGATAGTTAGTTGGCTGCCAGCCAAAACCCACCGAGAGAAGCGCGCGCCCTTGCAGCGCGTATGCTGCTGCTTGAATGGGCTATGCGACGGACCATACATTGTCTAGGGGTGTGGGAAGATGAAAAGGAAGAAAAAAAAAGCATTAAAATTAAGAGAACATTTTAACTATGATATGAGAGGGGCCAACTTTCATTATCGGGCGTGAAATGCGGCAAAAAAACCCGTGGGCATCGGAGTTTTATTCTTTGGTGAATTATTACAAGGGGAGGAGGAAAGGGGG